TATACACATATCTTCTTAGTATTACTATTATTCTCTTTTTTTTTTTTTTTTTTTTTATTATTTATTTTTTTTTTGAATTGGTATGCAACCCCAGACCCCCACAGAAAAGAAAGGAACATTAAAGAATAGGAGAGGGGGGAAGGGGGAAAGGAGGGAAGGAGAGAAAGAAGAGAGAGGAGGGGGGGACTGAGGTTTATCCTTAGCGGTTCAAAGCGGGGGTGATGACGCACCCCAGAGCCTTAAAGGAACATCCCATGGCTATCCCTAGGTTTATAATAGCACCCGGGGGGAGATAATGAAACCCCCTGGGGCCATATCTGTGGGATAACATAAAACAGCACGCCAAAATACAATAAAATGGGGGGGGGCATAATAGGCTAACATACACAGTAGAGGTGCTAGTCTGGAGACAATTGTGATCTGGGATATTAACATAGTATTATAATAAATCTGCTTCATTCATTTTAAATCCCTTATGCCAATGTATTACAAATATTAGTCTTAAATCCCGATCCCAATTATAAACACACCGTCTCATAATACCAGCACCTGGTCTACTGACCTGTGATTAAAATCACAGACTAACAAGCAATAGAGAAACAGTACAAATAGTTATACCTGGAGTTATGCCTGCTGAGGACACACCAGAGAAGGGGACGGTAGATGTTGTAATGGGTAAGGTCAATGAAGAGCTGGTAGCGGCAGCTGATGACCCGGGGCTCGACCCGTCGGGGGACAACTCAGTGCGCACCATGTTCCTGACCAACGATCCCAGGAAGGAAATTGCCGCGGGGGTCAGGGATGGCCCAGAGGAGGTTGTTGTCGTGGACCGGCTGCTTCCGTTAGCCAATGACGCTGGTGTGGAAGTAGTTGAAGTTGCGGTGATAGAGGTGCTCCCAGATCCGGAAGCCATAGCAATACGAACTATAATCGACCAGGTATGAGCAGAAAACAAAGGAGGGAAATGATAGCGCAGATAGGCTGTCTTGAGAAAGACCGATCAATAGCGTGAAAGGAGTTGAGGACTTGAGGGGCGTCTCTAAAGTGCGGTAAAGAAAGAGCTGTAATAACGAAAAGGGGGGATCAGACGAGATCGAGAGTCTCTAAAGAGAGAGCTGTAGCAACAGAAAGGAGGATTAGACTAGATTCTCCACGGACGAAAGTATCTCCTTAGCCTCTTCCACTGCACTTGCCTTCCAGCGAGCTTCTCAGTTCTGCATGAGTGATCTCCCACGCATGCGCAAAACGTGGGGGCGGGCTCAGCTCGGTCCCGCGGGGCCGTCCGCCCCCTCCATTCCGTGAGAGTGGTCCCCTGCTGATTAACCTGGCTTAAAGCTAGGCTCTAAACCACATTAAAAACTGTCACTTCCTTAAAAGGTAATGAAGGGTGGCATTGTGGTGCAAAAATTATCAGCAAGTGGTCAGAGGGGTATTTTTCTTATCAATAGTCAGGACAATAAAGCATGATTTCTAAGGGTACTCAATCAAAAGTGATATTATAGTATTAGAGTAAATACTAAATCTGTGACAACATTAATTTTCACCTCCTTCATTAGCAGCAACACTAGTTCCACTTGTAACAGCAGTTGCAGCAGCACCACCTCCACCTATCATTGATATGAGGATTGATACAGGGAATTATAATACATACCTAGCTCTTTAAGCATGGCATGTCCTATCTCCTTTGCACTTTCCTGAGTAATCAATACATTACACACTTTTACAAGATATCCTTTTTCATCAAGAGAAGCATCTAATCGATTAGCTACATTGTTCATTAGTTTGTCAGCTTTAGTAGCGTCAGGAATCTCATCTGTCGTCACATAATCTCTAGTTGCTGATGCTATTAGGCCCTGGGCATGAAGTGCTTTAGTGACATCACTCACATTTTCTGATACTGCCTTGGATAGCTTAGCTGAGTACTTCTGCAATATCTCCTTTGGAATTTCTATTGTCAAAGAAAAAGTACGACATGCATACAATGTGCCATACAAATGTATGATCTTCCTTACGACTCATTGTTCTGCCCTTTTTGTGTTTTATAACAAAAATCTAAAGGCAAAGGAGTGAGAACTAAGAACGTTCTTCTTGGTTCAGGAACAGTGAGTTTGTGGAATTTACAACCACCACACCTTTTAGATCTACTTTCGCGGGTAAAAAAGCGCCAAGTTAGAGTCAAAATGCCTTACAACAACAAACTACCGGTATGCTTTATAATAATAAAAGTAAAAAATAACGCATAGCAAATTAGCAATTGTTATTTGTACCTACTAAGTCCTACTCTACAAAAAATTATTCTGACAAGAACTTTTCAAGTTTGTCTTTTGCTTTGCCCAGTTGATCAGGATAATCATCACAAAGCTGCCTCAATGTATCCCAACTAATATCTTTATTGGCATCAAACCACCTCTCAAATACAAGAATAAGGTTGTCCATTGCTGCGCCAGGTAATTGTGTCAGATCAGACACTTTTACATCTAATCCAATCCCTATTAGCTTAAAGTGGTTCGAAGAAGGACCAAATATCTTGGTAACTGCAGCCATGTTAAGCTTCTTAATCTTGCCTAATAGTAGATAGAAGATTAGTCTATAATACTTAGATATAATTCAAATTTTCACCTCCAGTAGCTCCGCCTGTATCAGTAACTTGAGCTATTGAGTGTATTGGTAAAAGCATCAATTCAGTCATTTATAAGACATACCTAGTTCTTTAAGCATGACGTTTCCTATCTCTTTTATTGCTCCACCTTGCTGAGTCAATATATTACACACTTTTACCAGATATTCTTTGCCATTAAGAGAAGCTTCTAATCGGTCAGCCACATCCAGCATTAGTCTATTGGCTTTAGCAGAACTAGCCACTCCAACTGTTGTCACTACATATTCTCTAGTTTCTGGTGTTATGAGGTCCTTGGCATGAAGCGCATTAGTGACATTACTCACATTTGCTCCTACTGCCTTGGCTAGCTTATCAGAGTACTTCTGTAATATCTCCTTTGGAGTTTCTACAGTTCAAATAAAGAGTATATATGTGATACATACATATATCTATGTCATATGATCTTCCTTACGACTCATTGTTTTTCCTTGTAAATTTATCCTAGGCTATGACAGAAATTTAAAGGCAAGAGAATAAAAAACCATTAAAATTACTATCTTACAATGACTGTAGGCTGGTCTACAGCTGCCTTGATCCAAAGAGAAGGCTTGTGGTTGGTTCCGAGACAGTGGACTTCTGGAATGCAACCAGCCACACCCTTGTTTTTGTATTATGCTCCGCCCATTCTCAAACTTTCATACAAACACACTGTGTGTTTGCAGTATAATGTTATTACCACATACATGGCGGCAGCTGACTCTTTCTGCTCGGGCGTTATTTAGGAGTAAATAGTTCCCTTGATAGTTCCGGAGAGGTTATGGTAAAGCTGAAGCTATTGCAGGCAGAGAACAATGGGAGGCCATTTTCGAAGAGGTACAGCTACATGTACATATAGATCTGCATGCATCAAAATATTATAATATGTACTTTGGAACTTTGGAATCATTGCTATGATTGCTCAAAGGTACCCAATAAATAGTTATGAATAAAGGTGGATTTACACAATATTACACTAAAGGTAGGTTCTCAATATGACACATTGTTTTTCTAGTGTCATGACTGGAAGTGCTGTATAAATCAATGGGAGTATGCATCAATGCGTCAGAATAGAAATGTTTTCTAATCTGACACATTGACGCATGGTCCCATTGGTTTATACAGCACTTCCGGTCGTGACGGACGTGCATGCATCATATTGAGAACCCGGCTTAATCCAGATGTTACATTGATGCTTGAGTGGAATCTGGCGTGAAGCATGTGTCAATTGTCAAAAGGTCAAATTGCTCACACTTTTAATTAAAAATTGACAGTATGTTGGCCTAACGTAATATTGTTGAACCAAATTCAACTAACTTCTGCATCAACATAACATCAGGACTAGCATCATATTATAAATCTGCCTTAAAGGTTTGCATTCATATATTAACTATTAGCAAATGATGTTTTATGTTTGCTTTGTTTTAAAGGTTTGCTTTGTGTGGTTGTAATCACAGGTTCCTTACACTAACATCAGACAACAGGATAATGGCCATCAGTGAGAAAGCTAAAGGCAAGGAAATAATGACAGTCAGTAGCTACCACGCCTACTTTACGACCACACCCATAGTTACAAACTGACGTCCCAATAGTTAAAAAGGGAAAGAGTGAGTTTGAGATAGAGGAATAAGATGCTTATAGACACATGGAAGCATTTGAAACTGGTTTTGTGTGAGATGACAACTTCATAATGAAATAATGTTAGTTTATTTTTATTTTCTTTAGTAAAAAATTTTTAAGTTTTCAAAATTACAAATAAGGATTATATAACAAGACTTCCCGTGACTCACTTTACTCTTCAATGAAAGATGGTAATAAATGCACAAGGCTCTGTTAGACAGGTTGGTCACATGATTTGTAGTCACGTGACCTGTCAGGTTAATTTCATTCTGTAGGAGAAAAAAGATGAAAGCAGACAGATACTGCAAATAGCATGTATATTGTATTGTATGTACTTTTTATTACAAAAGATTATAATAGTAATGCAAATCAAAGAAAGATGAAATTACTTATTGTTATGTGGTTCAGTATCTTAAATAAAATAAAGAATAACAAAATAATGTGTTCAAATAAGAATAAATACAAGTGTAGTAAATTTTAGTCCATATCTCCTTCATTATAACAACTTAACAGGAACTTTTACTTTTCTTACTGCTAGTTGGACACAATTCTGGATCAGTCAGTGATTGATCAGCAGCCCCTCTTAATCTCTTGCATCCTAAATAAAAATATAATAGTGTGTACATTTCCATATCATACAGTACATTAGCTGATATGTGTCTTACTGATGTGTTCAGCTGAATTTTTATGATATTCTTTGAGACAATTAACTAGTGTGGTCCAGTTTGCTCCTCCTTCTTTATCTACACCATCAGTTCTTTCTAACCATTTAGCTAGACATTCTCGAAGGCACACATAGCTTCCTTCTTTAGAGAAATTTAAACGTATATCTTTCAATGTACCATGATACAGTCCTAATTTAAGACCAAGATCAAACCAGGATTCATTAGGAAAATGACGCTCTTTCATATCAGTTAAGATCTGATCTAAATCACAGATATTGACTGCTAGTGGACACTCCAAAACTATAATAAAAGACGAAATGATATTGAGTCAAATTGGTGCAAAATTAAAAATACATTTTAATTTTAAAACTGTGCACAGTTGATTTGACCCTGATTGATTAAACTATTGATAAGGGCTTTGATTTACCTGGGATTAGTGCTTCTGAATCAGGAGTATAATCTGTAAAACTACAGTCTTTTAAACCAAACCAGCACCAGTAGCTCTTATCATCTTCACGTATGTGAGCTGATGTAGCACATAAAGAACAATTTACCAAAAAGTTTTTATCTACAACACAGTAACAGTTCTTTTCCTTGGGACAAGAGAATGCATTAATGTGATTGCACTTCACATTGATGGCATCAGCACTTTGATCGATGGCTGTCATGACTACTTCATAAATATAGGGGCAGTTGTCCTTTGCGTTCTCAACTGATCCAACAAAATAAACCTCAATATGAGTGTAGCGATTGATTATGTGAAGTGTATAACGTTTTCCCCTAATTTTTATCCACAGAGACAATGCGTCACGATACTTGTAGTACTGCTGTGGCTTTAATGGAGGGAATTCAATGCTAAAAGAGTGTTCCTCCCTCGGTTCCTCCTGATTGACTTGGAGGAGGTGAGTGATGAGTAAAGGAAACATTCCCTGTGGAACTGGGATAGAATTGGGCCCATACTGACCATGCTTCTCTTGCCAGACTATAAGGAGAGGCTTGGCTTCTGTTTGAGGCATAGGTAGATCAGTGTATGCCTGCAAGGCACAAGGAAAGAAATAATCCCCTCCTGTTGCTTTAGTAATGACACGAAGATGAATGAGAAGGTCAATTAAATGTGAGGGCTCAAAATGAGGTGGAAAGAAAAGTTCAACATCTGATTTTAAATGAGACAATAGCTTCTCCTGAAAGAAACCAAAATTATGAAGCTTGTTAATATCTTTATCTAAAGGTACAGGGTTTGTGATTAAATGCAGTGCAGCTCTTTCAACATAAGTCAGAGCCAATAAACGTGATAGAATCTCGACCAAAGGCTGAGGATCAACAAAAACTAACTCTGGCAAAATATCACGAAAATATAGGACAATAGTGACATTATGGAGATACTGTAAGGCATCCTTAGTATCATTCTCACTCATTTTAAACTTTTTACCAGCAGCTATAACTTCATCAATTATAAGAACATTGCGGCTCTCCCTTTCTGCTACCTTTTGCAACCAAAGCTCAAATGCAAACCAGCGAATCGGCATATTTAATTTAAGAGAAGTGCCACTACAATTTGCTATTGATTGACATAATCTCTGTCCTGCTGCTAATCTTCCTTCATCTTTGAGGATTAGTGTATTTACAGGAAATACGATAGACACCCCACGTTCATTAGGAGCAACATAATTTTGTATATCAGGCTTCAATGAAGACATTAACTCTTTATCAATCTTTTTGAGGCTATCATGACTTATGAGATCATAATGTGTGCCTAATACAAAATGCATTGGATGTGAAGGTGTTTCAAGGACATGAGGGACATCAATTGGTTTGAAAATGGCTCCAGAAGAAACTGCAGACTGAAAGAATTCCCGATTTGAATATTTTAAATTCAAACCACACGAAAATTTCTCCCCTCCAATTCTGTACTGAAAATCAAGCTTCTTATCAAGAGGTTGGGAGAGATCAAGAGTGATGATATTCAGAGAAGCTGTTCTAATAAACAATGGTAACAGCTCCTGGTATGCTGGCTGACCTCCAGAATCAATAACATACAGCCAATCGCCTCTTAACTGAACTGCTGATCGTTGGATGGTGTCTACAATTTCTTGAATAACAGTTTCAGTTTCATCATTATTGGCTTCATTTGATACTGAGCTTGCTAAAATAATAGTTTCATTTATTTCTATAGAAGCAGAAGGATGGCCGTGTTCTGGTTGTTGTAAAGGTGAAGTAGTTAAAGATTCTTCAGGCTGAGAAGCAGCTGCCACATTTAAATCAGAAGCCAGTCTTTCAAGTAAACCAGCTCTAGTAACTTTTTCCCATTTCAAATCGTCTACAGATACTCTTGTAGCTCTGACAGTTGGACGAGCAATTGGTGTACTGTCAGTGACACGCTCAGTAGGTGGGTCTTCATTTAGTAGAAGGTGCAGCGCACAGGTCTTGCCAGCTCCAGGAGGTCCATGCATGTTAACACGAGTAACAGTTAGCTTAACACTACCTTCTTTTAGCCATTTATCTACAACTTCTAGAAACAATCAAAATGAAAAATTAAATTGTGAAGTAAGTCAAGTAACATGTTTTTATTACCATTTGAGACAGGAAATAGTTGGTCTATTGATTGCAATATAAACTACAACTATTACTTCCTTAAAAGGCAATGAATGGGCAGCATTGTGGTGCAAAAATTATCAGTAAGTGGTCAGAGGGTATTTTTCTTATCAATAGTCAGTACAATAAAGGCTGGTTCACTTTTAATCAAAAGTGTGGGCAATTTGACCTTTTGACGCATGCTTTCCGCTGATATCGATCCAGATTCGATTCCAGCGTCAACGTAACATCAGGACTGACTAGTGTAATATTGTGAACTAGCCTTAAAGGCTGGTACAATATAAGCCCAGTGTACTATTTTTAATCAAAAGTTTGGGCAATTTGACTTTTACATGATTTATGCTAGAATAGAACCAAATCCTATTCTAGTGTCAACGTAATGCCAGGACTAGCGTCATATTGTAAACCCGCCTTTACTAATGTATATCTATGATAACATTAATTTTCACCTCTACTAGCACGAGTTCCTAGTTCTTTAAGCATGATATGTCCTAGTTCTTTAAGCATGACGTTTCCTATTTCTTTTATTGCTCCACCTTGCTGAGTCAATACATTACACACTTTTACCAGATATCCTTTTTCGTCAAGAGAAGCTCCTAATCGATCAGACACATCCAGCATTAGTCTATTGGCTTTTGCAGAATTAGCCACTCCAACTGCCGTCACTACAAATTCTCTAGTTTCTGGCGCTATGAGGTCCTTGGCATGCAGTGCGTTAGTGACATTATTCACATTGGCTCCTACTGCCTTGACTAGCTTATCAGAGTACTTCTGTAATATCTCCTTTAGAGTTTCTACAGTTCAAATTAAGAGTACATATGTGATGCATACATAACTATCTATCATATGATCTTCCTTACGACTCATTGTTTTTCCTTGTGTCTTAGGCTATGACAGAAATCTAAAGGCAAGAGAATAAAAGGCTATTTAAATGACTATCTTACAACGACTGTAGGCTGGTTTACAGCTGCCTTGATTCGAAGAGAAGGCTTGTGGTTGGTTCTGAGACAGTGGACTTCTGGAATGCAAACAGCCACACCCTTGTTTTTTTGTAGTCATGCTCCGCCCATTAGAAACTTTCCCGGGCAAAAAGGCGCCAAAGTTTAACCCTTTTCTTACCACACACATGGCGGCAGCTGACTCCTTCTCAAGTCTCCTTAAAGGTACGTGATCATCTCCCTCTATAGAATAAAATAAAATATTATTTTTTCAGATAAAAAGTCACTGTCTCCATTCTGTCTCGTACACAGTCTACAAGGAAGACCCTGTCCCTCTGATGATGGAGGGGAGGAAGAGGAGGAGAAAGAAGAAGATAGACTAAAGTGAGCCTTGTGATGCTTCTTAATAATCAATATTTTTCAAATCAGCCAATCAAGTTTGAGTGTCTCGCTTTTTGAAAGTCCCCATTCAAAGCTACCTCCGTCTACTGTCCAGCCAATCAGAACACCGTCAAATAATGTATGTACATGTAGATCTAATTATTTCTAATTAATGCTCGTTAAACGTGCCTAGGTTGCCACACCTTTGACACTTCAAGTCGATTGTGTTGATAGGGTGTGGTCTTCAGCCATGGCCACACCCACATCAAAGAAGTCTCATTTTTCGTCGATTAGTGAATTGGGAACTAGTTGTAGCTCAATCGACCAATCAGAGAGAGAGAAGGAGAAGAGAGGAGAGAGGGAGATTAGGGAACGTGCTAGGAATCAAGGATCGGAGGTGAGTGTGATCATTTTACTTAAACATGTTTATGAATAATTTTTTTTATATTTTATTTTTAATAGATAATAGTTCGTAGGTTATTTCATAGCCAGCCTGAGGCCACACCCAATTTGCATAATGACTCAATCAACAAAAATGATGACATGATTTCTGACGTTGATCTAAACCACACCCACAACAGCATGGACTTGTTTCATGATAGGGAAGAGGAATATTTGGAGACATCTCCACAACTGATGTTATCAGGGGGTCCGGAACATTCTCTAATATTACCGGAACACGTGGAAGAAGACATGGAAGAGGATGGGAAGGAAAATTTAGAAATTTTTTATGATTCGCTCCTCACTCAAGGGACCCAACCCACTCCAATATTAGAAGTGAAGGGGCCCGAAGCAGATGCATGTATTTCACCTTCCAAGGGGTCTTGTGAAGATATTAATACAGAAGGTATGGAAACAAATGCATCACCTGAGAAGGGGTCCTGTACTGTTGATCCAATATTGGAAGGCAAGGGTCTGAGACACATGTCGCTAGATGTACTTTTCATGAGCAACAGTCAGTTAGATGCTATAGAGACCAAACCACTCTCTCAAGATCACACTCAGCCTAAGGAAACATGCCAGAGTAATGAAGCTAAAAGAGAAGCAGTCAATGAAATCCAAAGTGAAAGTGTCTCTCTGAAGAGGATACACTCACCTGAGTCACAACAACTCAACAAGAAATCTAAATCATTGCAACCACTCCCACAGTTAAAAGCTACACCTACTTTAGGTGGAGCTTTATCAGACAATCAATTGAAGAGAAAGATGTCAACTTTCACTGGGTACCAGACTCCTCTCTCTCGTCCAAAACCCTCCACTAGTTCGTTTAAAGTCCCTCGGCCTAGAGGAGAGGTCAATGAGAGAGAGGAGAGACAGTCTATTGAGAGAGTTTTGAGTAGTTTCAATCCTTTGTCAACTTCCACTCCGTCGGTGGTAAAGGCTCAGGGGGTCCGGTCTCTTTTTAAAACTGGGTCTGGGAAGGATTTGATGATTTCAGACCACTCAATCGAGAAAGCAAAATTAATTTTTGATGACGAGGAAAAGAAAAATGATGAAGGAGGGAAGACTGATCTTATGAAGGTTGATGATAGTGGCTGTGATCAAGGAGAAGAAAGTGGGTGTGGTTTAGAAGATAGCGAAGGATGGACTGTAGCATCTGATTTTGACTGGGAAGAGTTTAATACTTTCACTCAATTACCCGGTGATACTGTAAATGGCCCTTCGACCAATCAAAATGAAGATCCTCAAGTTGCCATGGCGACAGTTAAGACTCCACCCATTTTTGGATTTAAGAATGCTAGTGGGCGAGACATAGCCATCTCAAGTAAAGCACTGACATTTGCTAATAATTTGCTATCAGATGAAATGAATGCCACACCTACCACTGTCATGCCCATATTAAGCACCAGTAAAGGTCTTCATGAAGCCAATCCCATTTCTTATCAGATAGGTTTCAAAACAGCTGGTGGTAAAGATGTAACAATATCAAAGAAGTCGCTTGAAACTGCCAAAAGATTATTAAGTGATGATCCCAACATTCATGAAGCTCCTCCTACTAGTGCCACGCCCATCAGTGGACTAGGATTCACTACTGCTAGTGGAAAGAATGTTAACGTCTCAACTAAATCACTTGAAATTGTCAAAAAATTATTTGAAGATGACGAGGTTACTTCTAAACCCACTAATCACTTAGGGTTCTCCACTGCTAGTGGGAAGGAGGTCCCAGTTTCGTCTCAATCACTTTCAGTTGTTAGAAACCTTTTCTCGGAAGATGCCATGCCCAATATTACTAATCCAGGTCCTAGTGCTAATGTAGCCCCGCCCACTAATATTGGTTTTACTACTGCTGGTGGAAAGAGAGTCGATATTTCTGAGAAATCACTTCAAGCTGTCAGAAGGATTTTTGCTGACGAGGAAACCCCACCTACCAAAGCCCCACCTATCAGTACATCAGCTCTGCCCATTCATATTGGTTTCACTACTGCCAGCGGTAAAGGTGTGGATATATCGGAAAAATCACTTGAAGCTGTGAGAGGAATTTTTGCAGATGATGAAAATGCATCTGCAATAGCCCCGCCCGCTAATAGATTAGGTTTTACGACAGGGAGTGGAAAGGAAGTGAGTGTTAGTGATGAGTCTTTGAAAACTATTAGGAGACTCTTTTCTGATGAGATTCCTTCAGAACCTCCACCCACTCGTGTGATTGGTTTTTCTACTGCTAGTGGTAAAGGGGTGAGTGTTTCTACGGAGTCATTAGAAGCAGTTAAGAACATGTTTAGCGATCATCATGATGATAAAGTAGTATCAATTTCTGATAGATCTCGTCCTTCATCAGAAGCTGCTACCGTAATGACTCCATCAATTTCAAGAACTAGTGATACTTGGGATAATAATAGTACTAATGTTCTTATGACGCCTAATTTAGGATTGAAAACCACACCTTTTGCCCCACCTACTAAGGTACCGGAAAGAAGTAAGCCAATTAAACTATTAATTTAAATTATTTATAATGTGAAAAGCTGATTCATTGAGAAAACAAGCTACTAGTAGAAGAGGTCGTGTTTCCAGACCTGAGAGTATGTGCAGCAGTATTGTGTTACTATTTTTAGTATCACGATCTATTTTAGGTCTATTGTGTGACAGAAATAGTACAATTAAAGCTAAACGAGCAATATGTCAAGATCCAAAGACCACACCTATTGCCACACCTTCCCACATCAAGTATTCTATTATTTAAAATATTTTGAGTTTTTCTTATTTTATGTGCAGGTTTCAAAAAGAGACTCCCAACTCGATGTCCTCCAAATACCGTCGTCCTAAAAGAATCAACCCGGTTTGGGAAGGTGACCTTTCTAGCGATCTCAAGAGGTCACAGCCGACCACTCCCCCTCCCTCCTCCCCCCTCACCCCCAGTCAATTATCATCCTTTACTAATCTCAGCCCCCTTAGCCCCGGAACGCTCAACAGCAGTCGACTCAATATCAACGACTCTCTATGTAACGCCCCTCCCCCACCTGTCCTCCCTCGGTCTCCTGGTCAGGTGGTCCAGGGACAAGAGGGAACCATAACGAGGGCAAGGGGACGTCCTGGTTGCCAACGGATACCATTGATTGCCATGGCAATGGAAAATGGGAGGCTTGGCGGGTACAGCGAGGAAGAGGTTAGAGTATACATGTACATGTACACAATTTTAAATTATTTTTTTATTAATAGTTATTAAGTAAAGGGGTTTGTCCTAGTGTGCTCTCTGTGTCTGTTTCTAATGCTTCCAGTTTTGTATTTGAGGGGCGGGGTTTCTTTAGCCCTGCCTCCTTGAGGAGGGGATGGGTCTGTGTTGGTGATGGAGTTGTACTGAAACTAAGTGAGAGGAATACAGCTGGAGCAGAGGAGCTATGGAGGTACAGAAAATAAAATACATGTCCATGTTCATTTTCTTTCATTTTATTTTAGTGCATTTTCTCTCAGTCCTGGTGTTGATGATGCTCTTATTAGTAAGGACTGGTTCACTAATCACTACAAGTGGATTGTATGGAAACTGGCCACCATGGAGATATGCTTCCCTGAGAAATGGGCTGGAAGGTAACATAAACTGTGCTATATACATGTACTTATACACATTGTATTCTTCTCTCTCTTTCTTAATACGTGTACATGTGCCTGTACATGTAGGTGCCTAACAGTTGATTGGTGTCTCTTACAATTGAAGTATCGTTATGATATTGAAATAGATCAAGCTAAAAGGTTCATGTCCTTATCATTTAATTGTACATTATTTACTTTTTTCTCTCATACACTGTAGGTCTATTATCCATAAGATATGTGAAGGGGATGACACACCCACACGTCACATGATCCTCTGTGTATGTCACATGACACAAGAGACCAATGCAAGCAATGAAGTACAACTACATGTACATGTACTTTATACTTTTATTTATTTTTTATTGTCTTATTGTAGGTGGCTTATTCTTTGGAGCTTACCGATGGATGGTATTCTATTCCGGCTAAATTAGACAGACCATTGTCCTCCTTTGCTGCTCGTGGTTTGATATGTGTGGGTGGGAAACTTGCTGTATTTGGGGCGGAGCTAAGTGGAGATCAAACTAATGGACATCCACTAGAGGTACGTGTAAAAATGGTCATAACTTGAAAAATTGAAGTCGGAATCAGCTCAAACTTTCTACATATCATAAGGACATCAATATGTATCAGAAAACATAATAAAAATTGGGGGTGATTTCGGAGCCATTTTTTGGAAAAAACCATGGGCTATATAGTACAGGGTATTTTTCAGAAAATGGCCAATTTTTAAAATGGTCATAACTCGAAAATTTGAAGTCGGAATCAACTCAAACTTTCTACACAACACAAGGACATCAATATGTATCAGAAAACATAATAAAAAGTGGGGGTGATATGGAGCCATTTTTTGGAAAAAACCATGGACTATAGTACAGGGATTTTTTCAAAAATTGGCCGATTTTTTCAAATGACCATAACTCAAAAATTTGAAGTCGGAATCGGTTCAAACTTTCTACATAGCACGAGGACATCAATATGTATCAGAAAATGTAATAAAAATTGGGAGTGATTTTGGAGCCATTTTTTTAAAAAAACCATGGGCTTTACTGCAGGGAATTTAGCATAATTTTTGATGGCCATAACAATGTTAGTCAATGTAACAAAAGTACATTAATATTATTTTTAGGTCTCCAAGTCCAAGTTATTGTTATTAAATGCTAATTCAGTGAGGAGAGCTCATTGGTCGGCTCGTCTTGGACTATTACCACACCCAGTCCCTCCCTCATTTCCACTTCAATCCATTATACCAGCTAGAGGCATAATACCAGCCATTGAGGTTTGAATCATGTGATTGTCATGTGACTTTTACATGTAGCACATGTACAGGTCATCATTGCAAGATGCTATCCTTTGCTTTATGTTGAGAGAGGGTCCTCCGATGGAGATGGGCGGGGCTTTAATGGGCGTGTCTTCAGGAGACGGCACGAGGAGGAGAGAGTGGAGAGAGAGTGGGAGGAGAAGAGACAAAAGAAAATGGAAGAGATTTATAAAAGAGTTGAGAAGGAGTACAAAGAAGAAGTAGGTAAGGGGAGAAGAGAATTTAAAAATTATTACATATATTCTTATTGTTACCATCCCTCCTCTCTCTCTTTCTTTTAGAAAGTCACTCAAGACACAGAAAGAGAAGGTCCAGTAGGGTGTCAGTTCGTTATGTTAAACAGCTCCAAGATGGAGAGGAAATATACAATCAACTGCAGTCCTCATCAGATCCTGACTCATTCATGGTATGAGAGAAAGAGTATGAGAATGTAATGGTGAAGTACACGTACATGAACAATGTACATGTATGTAAGTAAACATGTGCATGTACATGTACAGTACAGCTCAGCTATAAGTTTTCGTTTATACTAGTGATCTCCAGCATTACCTACGTTCCACACTGGTGCAATGACTACACTAGTGTAGGGACACGCACATTATTCGGGAATTTCTTTTGGAATAATGGGTGTGAAATTTAGAGAAAGAATAATGGGTTAAAATTTGCCTGCCTGGATCACATGATCAATATTTAACCCTTTCAATACTGCATGAGCATGTGTCAGGATGTCAGCAAACAGTACAGTACAATTTAACAGCATTTTACAGCAACAGCAATGAGTAACTCCACTACTGAACAGATTTCAGGACACTCAAATTCACTTGAGGATTACATTGAGTCATCAGTAGTGTTACAATATAACCATGAATGATGATATTAATAATCAAAACTTGATGAATTTTTGGTATTATCAGAGCATAATAATGGGAATAATGGGCTAAAAAGGAGAGAATAATGGGATTGAGGAAGAGAATTGAAGAATAGAATTATAGGGTTGAAAAAAAAGAATAATGTGCATGTCCCTACACTAGTGCACCACAAAACAAGATAAGTACATGATGTACATGATAAATACACGATACAGGTGCTACCTTCACTAGTGCAGCTTGGATGCATAGACAAGTTGCACCTGTGTCATGTACACAATAAGTTAACTTATAGCTGAGCGGTACTGTACATGTATTTGTAAAGTGTACTCTTCATATTTTTACTATTTTTAGGAGCTTCTTTCTTCTACTCAGCGTACACTTTTAGAGAGCTATCAAGTTTCTCTTTCATCAAAGAAACAAGAAGAGTTACAATCACGAATTAAGAAAGCAGTTGAAAAGGCCGGTGAAGAGGTGAGTGTGATCCGTTATTAATTATAAATATTATTGTTTTTTAGTTGCCGCCCACTCGTAATGTATCCCAATTACTGAGACTAGTACTGGTACAGTATGGGGAAATACCCTCTTCTACTTGTGAGTGGTGGGTGGGGCTGTGGGTGTGGTTTTATTTGTTATAGGTTGTTTGCTTAGTGCTTGGAATGTGGGTGGATCTGAAATGAGAGATAACCTTAAGGAAGGAGTTGCTCTTAGAATAAGTAAAGTATCAGCTAATTCAAAGTAAATAATCAAAGCTTTGAATGTACAATGTACTTGTACATGTATGTGTACATTTGATTATTATTTTATTGCTTCAGTTTTCATGATGGACAATTACAATTAAGTTCAGGAAAGTTAACATCTTTTTCACTCCTACCTAAAGACCAATCTTACATGATTAACTATACACAAAGACAAGTTAGTTTATACAATTTAATAGTAGTATCATGGATAAGTAATATAAATGAGAAGGAGTCTCTATACATTGTGTTGTGCACTAGAAGAATTGCCATACACAAAATAAACTACATGTAACTATGGATAGCTCAATCTACAAAATCTGCACAGTACACAATAAAGTTTTCTAATATCTACAGTACATGTATCATATTTTCTCAGCATTAATCGATTTGTTTGGCATTTTCTAATTTTTTATCCTCTATCTTTTCTGATGCCTTCAGTCCAGCAGTAGTTACTCCTGCTCCTCCAGCTCCTCCAACAATAGCTCCAGCTATAGCACCTCCAATCCCGCCAACTAATGCACCAGCTACAGTACCAATCCCAGGTACTATGGGGCTGCCTAAAACACCACCAGCTACTGCACCACCTGCAGCTCCTACTATAATAGCTCCTGCTGTACCTCCACCTGCAACTGCAACAAGCCCAGAATTTCGCTTATACCAATTTGCAAATGGAACTGCTTGAGGAGTACAGCGTTTTTCACATAATTCCCAAAAATCTGTAGTCCATTCAATTTTGCTTTTAAGCAGACTTTCCTTTTTGCTACTTGTCACAATACTTGGGATGTCTCGAACTACTTCTGCTGAAATTTTGTTTTCTATAAGATACATCTTCATTTGTTCTTTGACTGCATTTTCCTGCCTTTCCATGTGTTGTTTAGCACTCATGCCTGTATTTTCCCCATCCCATTCTATAGCATATTGATCTCCACAGGTGAACACAATAATAGTGTGCTGCATCAAGCTATCACCCAGTGCTCTTACCATCTCTTTGAGTATCATCTGACAGTTTTTATCAAATCTGGCATACAATCTGTGGCATATTAGAACAATGTCAGCACTCTTCATTTTTGATATTGCTTTTTCAATGATAGATCGATCTTTTGTTTTTGTATCTCCAAAACCCAGAGTATCATATACTGTAACTTCTTTATTTTCACCTACTGTGTGGTGAATTTCATGCACCATCTCATGCTCAGTAGGTGTTACAGAACCACCAACCGTTGCCCTGTTTGCTCCGAGTATTTTGTTGATAAAGGAAGACTTCCCAACTCCATTGTGACCGATCACCAGAATTTTCATGCCATTTTTTATTCCTTTGTCTGGTTGAATACCAGTAGCCATGTCTTACAAGTTAACCGTAGGTCGGCGGCTGCAATTATTCGCGGTCATAAAAATTCAATTAAAAACCATGGAAACCCATGGGCCCAGCCTACCGAGGTGTTATTTTAATTGAAAACGGCGCGATATTGAAGGAAAGCACCTTGCTGGCAAGTTGCTGCAGTGTTCTTGAGCTGTTGTTCTTCTTGTGTTACTAAGCCTTGGTCTCTTTGGAGCTGCTTTTACCTGTTCTTTACTGTCTCGCCGCGCCGCATCTTGGGACTCTCCACCCATTCTAGTTAGTGTTTATTGAATTGGGTGTGGTTTATTATCACCACCACACGGACTAGCAACAATTTGCAGCAAAGAGGCTGAAAGAGCTCTGAGATAGAAGTCCATACAAGAAGTTAACAGGTAGAGAAAGACTCGTTATTGATGAATGGCTCCAGTAAAGCTGCTAAAGAACAGATGAATAGCTGAACACTAAACACGTGGTCTTATTGTCATAGCAATGCTCTAACAGTTACCATGGTTTTTAATTGAACTTTTTAAGTTTTTTTTAATGACCGCGAATAATTGCAGCCGCGAATATATCCCGACTGTACTTGATGTAAAATCTGCTGATTTTGCTCTGCTAGGCTGCAGCTAGCCATAGATATTAGAGTAAATGAAATTTAATTGGTCCCATTTACTATTATAAGAGAACTGTAAGCTGAAAAGTAAAGAAAAGTTGCTGTCTTGCTGTGTAACTAGGGAAAGTGGCATCTGTTGCTATGGCACAATACAAAGGAATGCAATTATTATCCTGCCCTTTTCTAGTTTCCTATCAGTCCCTTTTATTTACTCTTAATATTTATGAGCTAGCCCCATAGTTATTATAGACTACGTAACCGCAAGAGTAGATAATAATAGAAGCGAGTGTCTTACGGCGTAGAATTGAAGAGTCACATTCAGGATATTTTCAGTATTCTTGAGTAGTTATTCAAAAATAACTAGCAATATAATAACTACTCAAATAAAATACTGAAAGTATCCTGAATGTGACTCTTCAATTCTACGCCGTGATGAAGCAGGGGGTATATGCACAGTAGGACACTCTCTTCTAATTATTATCTACTCTTGGTAACCGGGATAGGAAACTAGCTCATGTGATCCATTCAAACCAGTATCAACCGCCCGGCCAACGACCGTCATTGGATTTTGGTGGGTGTGGTCAAAAAATGGCTACTCATCGACGACATTCAAAGGAAGATTGTATTCAAGCCAATGTTGATTTCTTGTTATTTTAATGATATTTCAATACTTCAATGTTTGTGTGACATGACTGTAATGAAAAAAATACTGATACCATTGTTATTTTGCAAATATACAGTGATTTTGTTCAAATTTGTGTTAGTTGCAAATTTGAAAAACTTTATGTACCTGTTGCACTATCACACGGGCAAAAATAGACTAACAAGATCATTGAAGATGTTGCCACAATCATTGTGCATGGAACTGTCATAGTTTCATTTACTCACTATGTTAGAGGAGTAATAACTAAAATATTGTTTTTGCAAACAGTCCACTGTTGTACCTGTTACAGCTTTTACACAGCAAGTAAAGGATTTTGCTTTTGGATGAGGATAGTTTAATGTTGTGTGCATGGAATTGGGGGGGTTAGCATTTAAATTCATGCAAAGCATTTGACTATAACACTGCTTAAAAACCAAAAATTCATTAATTCTGCATGAAAAGCAAGCAACATGGTCAAATTTATTCTATTTAATGCCCAATCCAATCACGGACGTCCGCCGGGGGAATCCTAGTTTCCTATCCTGGTTACGTAGTCTCTAATATCTATGCTAGCGCTAGCTAGCAATGAGACACGCCCAAAAAGGCATGATCAGAGATGCAGTTAATTAAGGCATAAGTAGGATAGGGCATTATCCTACGATATACATATTCATTGACAAAATAATATTCATTGTTGCTAAAATAACAAGTGTAGATGGCTAATAACCACTACTTTGAAGCCTTGAAAAAATGTTAATGTTTATCCAAGGTTTTATCATAGTTGCTCAGTGTTCAGGACAATCCCTCTATTTTGCTATGCGAAATGAGTGTAGGCAAAATCATGGCATACTTGTGTGCTATTTTTTCTTGCTTTATCATCATTTCTAAAGGTCTAGATGCACCCTGGGCGTGATTGCTTAACTCTCACATCACTTGTATAGATAGTAGAGTAACTATGTATGGCAATAGAACTAGACCCTTCCCACCTTCTAGTCATAGATAATAGAGTAAATGAAAGGGATTGGAAACTATTGTTCCCGCCCGGTGATGCGGTTTTCGTCACCCCTGGTTACCTGGTTGGCAACGTCCGTGTTTATCTGCATTCCCCATCTTCTCCACAGTAGTTGTTGTGTGGAAAGGATTTCGAAGGAATTTTGTGTGACTATTAGATAACGCTTGCTTATGATATATCTTCTGTTCCACATAGAAAATTTATGGCTACCTATAGCAAGGTTTTTCTTTTTATAAAGCTATTTTTCGACCAGTTATGGGTACACAAAGTCGGCATCTTTTTTGACACTTTTTTGCCTCTACAGCTTTCATGCTTTTGCTATTCTAGTGTTGCCTCGTATCATTCCATAAGTAATTGAAAGTTCTTTTATATTCTGACAAGCTTTTTAGAGTTTAGCTACAAATGTCTTCATCAGAGGGAGAAAACAGCAATTTTATGGGCAAAAGCGCTATAACACTCAAAATATTAATTTAAATATACCAAATAAATAATAATTAACAGTGCAAAACATTGAACTCCTTGATAGTTGAGTTCCTTTTTCATCAGAGTACTCTTCTTGGAGTTATTCTAATTTTAATGAAAAAATCAAGAATTTTGTGGTCAAAAGATAACAAACCGCCTAGTCAGCAATTTTTTTGCTTAGCAACAATACAATCAAATGGCATTATTGCTATGCCCACGCAGAAGTTTCCAATCCCTTTCATTTACTCTATTATCTATGTTCTAGTAGACATTGTAAATTAATTGGCACTTATTCCATGCATGTATCTTTATTCAATACGTTTTTATAGTTCACTTCTTTGTGTCAGTTATCATCATACACTAGTAGAAGAGGAGTCCAGTCTCAATACAATGAGATTGATACTGTTGGTATAATCATTACCACCTTGAGACAAAAACAATTCAACAAGTAAAGAGAGGAACTCTAAAACATATTTAACAAGGTCTATTTTTAGTAATAAAACCATTGATGTATTGTATTTAACTGATGCTGACAAATGCCTGCTCGTAATTAAAGCATGGGAGGGGCTCAAAGTGAGTTAACCACACCCACCATTAATTATGCATTGAAACTTAGTCTGTCGTTGGAGAGGGTGTGGTCACTGCTGGATGCATTGTAGCTGTTAGTAATCTCCGCTATCAAGTTGGGAGTGGTTTAGGGCCACCCACTGGTCATGTGACTGATCGTACAATATTCTCTCAACGTCCAATCGAAGAACATCTTTCAAAACCACTTGATGAGCTAAAACAAAACTTACCAGTAAGAGGAAGTGTGAAAAATTAGTACCTTTTCTTGTATCATTTTTATTAGAATGATATTTCACTGTACTTGCAAGAAATGAGTGTTGCAATCAGTCAGTCAGTCACATGAGAATTGTTTGATGTTCAGAATACATTATATCATTGTGTTATATATGGACTTGTACTTTTAACAATCAATTATGTATCATTTCTATTCAACAATTGAAATTTATCCTATCTATCATTACTTGTATTTATTTATTCAATCATTCAATCCTTCTCTGTGTAACATTATTTTATTATTGTTATTGTTGATGATGATAATGGAACAATAGCTTTGTATTATAAAACAAAGTTATAAAGTAAACTGACGGCAAAAGGAATTCAAAATTTATAAGTATACAAATGAACTGCTTAATCCTCTCATTAGGGAGCTGGTTTAGTTCCAACGTATTCTGTTTCTCTTCCAGTTTTCTTAATGACTGCTAGCACTTCATCAGAAGACAGTGATGTTGTCACATACACTCTTTGTTCCTCCATATTTATTTCAATGTTACTAACACCTTAAAACAATCAAAGAAAGCAAACAAAGAAATTGGGATCTGCTCGAACTCTAGCTCTTTCTCACCTTCTAGTCTCGAGAGGACTCTGTTCACAGCTCCTGAGCAACCTTCACAAGTCATTGTGACTTTAAACTCCAGTATCTAGGAATAATGTATTCAGGAATGAATTGGAGATGATTGTAATAGGAGCTAGCTAGGCTACTTACTTGAGCCATTTTCTTTAGGGCGGGGTAGAGCTACAGGGGGCCCGCCCCGGGGTCGAATCAATTTTAGTTTTGCTAAGTCACCATGCACAAATGCAGTTCTGTGCCATTGGATTGATCCAGTCAAATGACCAGTGCCCAACAAATTAAGTTTTAAAAATAATGATAATTATAATAATGAGATAATTATAATAATGGATATAAAAATGTTCGTTAATTTGTCTCTCATTCTTTGAAATTAAAATTAGCAAGAGATACAAGTAATAAGCAAGCCAAAAGTCACAGAATTTTGCAGGTGCTATAATTCAGTAGCAATGAGTGTCTCAGGTAGTTGCTGTTTTTCCAATAATGACAACAAGCTGACATTTTGAGTCATTAAATGTGAGTGAGTTTCTGATATATTGTGTTCTGACTCAGTCAGACCAATGACACCTAAAAACGACCATTAACTCTTCCCTAATGGCACCATCACACACACTTACCTTCCTGTCCTTCAGCAAGACAGTGGGCATATCCATATAGAACGACATCAAGGTTATCACTAGCATCAATCCCAAACAACTGCTCATCTCTGAAGTAACTCCTAACAAGAGAAGAGAAGCAAATAAACTAATAGTTGCACACTAATACCGTACCTCATACACTGAAGCAGTTGTATGGCCAGTAATGGCTGGCTACCAGCTATAGTATCCTGTAGATACCTCATGGCTTGCTCAGGCTTTAGACTATTCACCTGTTCCTCTATCTCTCTGTCCAACCGCCCACTCACAAGATCATGCGACGTATCTGAGAGTATGGATGCTAGTTGACGCTGGACTTGTGTTAGTTGAGTGCTTATATCAATGACAGGAAGGGAGTGGAGGCTGTTTTTTAGCAAGTGGTATAGTTTAATATATCCACTGACTAGCAGTAATAGCTGGAAATGAATTTGATGTACTGAATGACATAAAGTCAGTGACTAGAGAGAAGAGAAAAAAAGAGACAAAGTTTATTGTATTGCAAGTTGAGTTTGGTTGCTTTACTTTTTGATGTGCAGAAAAAGAAGTGGGGGAGAGAGGAGGAGGAGGAGAACAACTTGAAATGACAGCTTGCTTACAATCAGTAATGCACTGAAGAATTAAATAAATAAATAATAAATATTTCTGAAGAAAGACCCAAAAAATAAAATAAAATTTTATACTTGGAGCAATGATGTCCTTTGAGACTCAAAGTGTTCTAAGTTATTTTGCGTTTCAAGAGCAAAAAAAACCAATGGGTCCAATAACTTGGTAAGAGATATCTGCAGATGAAGAGATTTAAAGTAGGCTTCTAGTATTACAATGCATGAAAATGCGAAAACGCAATGTAAATTGGAATATCTGCTATTATTAGTGCTTATCACTAAATTCACTATACATTACATTTATATGCTACAAGGTACCTACCAGTTCAGTATCAAGGTATATTCTTGGAATTTCTAATTGAGTTGATAAAAGTTCAATTGTTACTAGGAAATGAGTTGATATGTTCCATAAACTTTCACTCATGAAGCTCACAGCTTCTTGTGTTAGGGAACAGGTCTGTTGCCTTATAACCTGAGAGACAAAGAGAAGAACAAAATGGTCTACATGTACATGTACATAGCATAAAAATATCAATAGGTATCAGAAAACATAATAAAAATTTAGGGTGACTTCAGAGTTGACTAACTTCTAAAAATTTTAATTTCCCACCAATTTCTGAAATTCAAAATGAGTACTCAAAATGGTTTTAAAAACGTACCTTAAGGTTACTTTTAAATGCAGGTACTATTAATTGCGAATCCTGCGTTTGGGTTAAAAATCGCAATTATTAATATGTGCAATTATTAATAATGACATCATGATGCCATATAACTATTAGTAATAATTACTTAATTGCAATTTTTAATACCAGCAAAATCTACCTTGTGCTAAAATCGCAAAATTTAGTACCCACAATTAAAAGTCACTCTAAGGTAATAGGGATGCTGGACTCTTCCACCAAACTGTCAAAATGGCCGATAATTTTTAAAATTTGAATTTCCCGCCAACCTTTATGGTATTTTAAAAATTGCTTTCAGACATATAGGAAAAATCCAATTTTTTAAATAGCAATAACAAAAGTCAGAATCAGCTCAAACTTTCTGTCAGAATCAGTTCAAACTTTCTATATAGCATAAGTACATCAATATACATATAATAAAAATTGGAGGTGATTTCCGAGCCAATTTTTGGGGGAAAACCATGGGCTATAGTACAGGGAACTTTTCAGATTTTTTCAAATGGCCATAACTCAAAAAATTGAAGTCGGAATTGGCTCAAACTTTCTACACAGCATAACTACATCAGTATGTATGAGAAAATGTAATAAAAACTGGGGGTCATTTCAGAACCATTTTTCGGAAAAAACCATGGGCTATAGTACAGGAAACTTTCAGATTTTGGCCCATTATTTCAAATGGCCATAACTCAAAAAATTGAAGTTCGAATTAGCTCAAACTTTCTACACACCATAAGAACAGCAATAAGCATCAGAAAATGTAATAAAAGCTAAAGCTGCATACCAAAAACAATCTACGGAATAGATAGAATGTGTTAACTGCCAGAGACAGGCTCTTGGATCGACAAAGATTACTAACATGTTCCTGCCACATTTCTCCAACCTATAAATACATATTAAAAAACAACACCCGTCAATCAAGTACAACTTACTTCTTCATCTGCAATGCATATGAAATGTGAAGCCCGGTGGAGATCAACTCTTGGTGGGAGTGGAACTGCCCCACCTTCATCATCCTCCTCGTCTGAAAACTCCAGAGACAAAGATGGCTGGAGCTCATCAGGTGGGTGTGGAATTTCATCAGGTGGGTGTGGAATTTCATCAGGTGGAATATCGTTGGGTTGGTTTGGCTCGTCAAGAGTAATATCATCAGGTGGTTGAGGTTGGTCTAACTCCTCGTTAGTAGGATGTGTCTCTTCTACAGATGACAAGAGTATATTGTTATCAGAGAGTGTGGGAGGTGAACGAGGCAGTGAGCTATCTTGACTTTCTAAGGATTGCCTTCTCTCATCATCCCCTCCTTCCTTCTCCTCTGCCCCTCTCTCTGTCTCTTCCTTCTCCTTATTATCTGATAATATATCTTCAGTTCCTTCATTAGTCTCTGTTTGTTTGACAACTTCTTTATCAGTAGCACTCAGCTCTTGATCCCTTTCTTCTCCTTCTACATGTACATGCACTTGTAATTCGTCTACTTTCTCCACCTTTTCTTCCTTCTCTTCTAAACTTTCAGTCTTTTCTATTGTCTGTGGTTCTTGCTCCTCTCCCTTCTCTTCTTCCTCTTCTTTGACTTCTGCCTCCTTTTCTCCTTCTTTATTATTCTCAGTTACTCCCTTGCCCTCTCCTACATCTTCTACTGGAAGCTGTTGGTCTTCTTTTTCTTTATCTCTTTCTTTTTCTTCTAAACTCTCTCTCTTTTCGAAAGATTTCTGCCTGTCTTGTTTCCCCTTCTCTCGTGCCTCCTCCTCATCCTCCTCTTCTCCTCCAGTTATTATATCAAAGCTAGAACCAGACGACTCCATTTTGACTTGTCTGTCTTCAGATTCACTTCTCGACATTGTCAACTCAGCCCTGCCTTCTTCCTCTTCCGTTAACATGGGAACAGGGCTCAGTGTTTGTTCTCTACTATCTGTTTCCTCAACTGGGGGTGTGGCTTCATTTGTGGGGGTCTCCCTAGGTGATAAAGCCTCATCAGGTACTAAGGTTCTTTCTCCAAGAGAGGGTGTGGTCTCCTCACCAAAACTAGAACTTACATCGCTACCAATAGTGCTAGTTGCAGTAACTTCATTGGGTGGAGCCTCTTGTATAAACTTAGACTGTTCTTCAGTGACCTCCTTGATGTGTCCTAACCCAAACTCTTCTCTCTTTGGGGGCGTGCTCACAATTGCAATTTGGGGTGTGGTCTCAATAGAATCTATGCTTCGCTCAAGAGAGTGTGGGCGGGATGATCTCTCGTGGGACTGAGGAGAGGCACTAGGGAAGAATGGACTTGTTGATCGACCTATAATGATATAATCATGTGACTGTCACATGACTGGTTAGGCTTACTGTGCTTCCTGTGTGGTACTTCAATGGAGTGAGTGAGAGGCTCTAGGGAGGAGTGAGTTTGGTCTTGTTGTAGTTCTGATTCCTCGTCATATAAACTGGACTGACTGCTTGAAAGTGATGAACTAAAAAAGTTTTTAAAAATAATAAAATCCTCTCTCTCTCTCTTCTACTTTCCTGACCTATACATCTCTTCTTTCTTTGCAGAGAAAGGTCCCTCAATGTTCAATTCAGCTTCTTCCGACTCTTCTTCGTCTGAGTATTGATTCAAGAAATCAAATTCGTCACCAATGGTATTGATAACAGCCTGAGAAAAAAGAAAAAAAGAAAGAGTACTTGTAAATTAATACGTACAAAGTACATTTAAAATGTAGTAAAAGGAGAAAGGAAGTTTCATATTATTATAAAAAAAGTACATGTAGTTAGTATATTACTGATTCTGGTTGAGATGAGTCCAGTATTTCTGCCGATCCTCTTATCGATGACATTTCTTCCTCGCTCTCTCTGTTGCTCTCCTCCTCCTCCATTTCTTCCGAAGACTCGGAATAAGTTATTCTATTTAATGCCTGATCATCCATGAATATAATCTAGGGTGGGCACAATAAGTTATAAAGACATGTACATTTATTATTGGAGCTTACTGATGGACTGCTGTAAAGGCCAGGATGAGGCCCACATGCATTTATTATACTTAACAACTTCTCTCTCGTAACACGCTAAGAAAAAATTATAAAATATAAAATAATCTGCTATATACTTGGCAGCCATGGGGTCGTCGCCATGATGACTGAGGGCTAGAATCATGAGCTAGTCTCAAGTCATGTGACCCAGAGGCCAAATCAACGGAGAACTTTAGCGTAGGACCGGGAAGACTCTCCTGGAAGAACCCGAGATCGACCATTGGCATATGAGGAGTGGTGGGTTGGACGAGAGATGAAGAGTTCTTTACAATCAATGAAAGAATGCCAAGAGCTTCCTGCCACAGTGGACCCTATATCAGGATATTATTAGTAAGACACTTTGAAATACATGCAATATTCTTGGTCAATTATACGACTATTATTAGGATATTTTCAGTATATTTTATACCTTAATAAATTGTGTTACAGGTCTGGTGATGGTACGAGTGACTAGCCCCATATCAACGGAGCTGTTCTCTTCAAGTTTAATGAGGAACTCATTCAGTATCCATAGAACTGACTGATGATATGTATCACAACCTTGATCAAGGAGCTAAAGAGAAAAAAATGAAATAATACATGGGCATGAACATGCATTATCTGATGTACAGTACATGTACATCAGCTCTAAATATTTATAAATCTTAAGTTTAATAGGTAAATTCTTCTCTCCCGTCCCTTCTCTTACTGTCCCCATTAGCTTCAGTATTTCCTCAGTCACTTGTGCATATCCTTTACTGATGTAATGGCAGACTGATTTCAACCATATAGTGCACGTGTTGGTAAACTCTCTACGAGAATAGAGACTGAAAAGGTGGCCCATGTCTCTCAATACTTGACTGTGTTCGTTAGATTGAGCTTGTGGTATGTATGAAGTACAGGCCTAGAGAGAAAGAACAGAAATACATATGTATTGGGTAACGAATGGTTAAATGATTCTGCATTATATGTACATGTACATGCAGCAATAACTATTCTTCTTTCTTCCTTCTCTCTCTCTCTTACCTCAGCCAGATTAAAAGCAGTGCTAACAAGCTCCTCCATTGGGTTATCAAAGTGCTGTATTAGTTCAGGTAGAAGAGCCATGATGCATAATGGCAGACCACTGGAGCCAGACGGGTCAATGACTCCTCTCCTTACAAATGGAGACAATTTAGATATCAGTCTTCTGGTGCTGTAGGTGGTATTAGTGAGGGACAGTCCTTTAAGGAGGACTCGTAAAACACCAGGGAAACTCTCCCATTTACTCTTTAGCCGAATGACTTCGAGTCGAGTAAAAGTGAAGTCTGATTTAAAATCGAGTTTAGACGTTACGCGGTCGAAGAGTCTCAAAGCTAGAGAGAACTCAATCTCATAGTCTGAGAGCATGAGACTGACGCTCGTCCAGAAGAGCTGAGTCAGCATGTCAAGGGCGGCCATTAGGCTGTAATCGTTTCCTCCAATCATCGACAGTGAGAGGTGGGCAGAACCCGTTTCAAACATGCTCCGTGGACGATTTTTTCCACGAGAAGTACCAGCACTCTGGGCTCTCTCTCGCTCTGGATCGGCACTTATTTTTCTCCTGAGACTCTCTTTAGTCGGAGAGTTTTGGTGACTAAAAGGTGGAGGAGGAAAGTGATGTGCGGGCGGGGCAGTAAGGACCTGTGTAAGAGGAACACTGTTTGAAATATGGCTGTGACCTTTTTCGCGTAATTTGTCCAAACTCCCACGAACGTTATGAGGCATTTTAGAAAGCAGAGAAGGAGAAGACGAGGGAGACGTTGAAGTATAAGACGGGACCATCTCTCTCGACCCACTGTAACTCCTCCTCTTGTAATTCTTGTCCTGTTCCCCTTTCTCTTCTCCCTCATTACCCTGCAATAACTGGGACACCGAATGAGCCCTCATGATGGGGCTACCATCAGGAGGTAAGTAGAGATTATTAGCAATTGCATGTGCTTTTAATGGGCTTGTCCTCAGCTCTGGATGAGAAGGCACTCTTACAATATTTGTAGAATCAACACTAGATCCTGAGGTATCCATAATAGCCCCACCTCCTCCTGCCCCTCCCCCTTCTGCCATTAGTGGTCCAACACTCTCTTCTCTACTTGTTTCTTCTTGTAAAGAGGGTGTGGTTTCTTTGGCAGTAGGTGAGGTTTCTGACGAAGTGTCTTTTTTGGTCTCTTCCAGTGGCGACTCAAGAGAAGTCTCCTCGTCAATAGTAGGCGTGGCTTGAGGAGAAATGAGACTTCCGTGAGTAGATGTGGTTACAATTGAACTGGGCGTGGTCAAAGAGGACGTACTCTGGTTAGGCGTAGTATGTCCAACGCTAGATGTAGTAGGTGTGGTCGTACTATTATTCTGAGTATGTACAATATTTAATTGAGTGGGTGTACCACTACCAGCTGGTAGAGATATAGTTGGTGTGTTTATTGGAGCCATTGCTTTAGCAGTAACAATGGAAGGCAAGGAACCTGAGACTGAAGAACTAATATTACTGATTCTATTGGACGGAACCGAGATTGAGTTTGAATATACTTCACTATACGGCCTCCCGTGTTGGTGGGAGTGGCCTCCTTGTTTCTCAGTCACAGATGACTGTTTATGAACCCCTGATCCTGGTAGTGGCTCAAAAAGATTCATCAGTTTCAGTTGAGGAGCCGAGATACGGTCGTCCCTTGTGCTGGAGGCCACTCGATTAGGATGAAGCGACTCAATTTGATGTGAGAGGTTATCACTATCAACTGAAGCAGACGTCCTAAGACGAATCTTGTGGCCAGGACGATAGTGTCCTGCTCCAGCTGCTGGAGGAGAGTGAGGAGGAGGTTGCTCTGCAACAGAAAGAGGATCTTCGGAATGCTGACTATGCGTGTGGTCAGGAGTTGCTTTGATGTGAGAAGAGTCTGATACTTCAGGTTTCTGGTGAGTGTGGTCAGGGACTTCTCCCTTCAGCTCTTGTAAGTTAGTCACACTCTGACCTCTTGAGTGATTCCGCCTGTGGTGAGCAAAATGAGGTCTAGACGAGATCGTGGTGGGAGGAGCTTGTGGTTTTTCTTCTGAAGGAGGGTCTAATGTAGGCGTGGTCTCCGTTTGTTGAATAGAACTTGTTGGAGTTGATGTCCTGCAGGATTGTGCTAGAGGAATTGATGGAGGACGAGTGGAGGCAGTGGAGGAGGAGGAGGGTAGGGAGTATGTGGGCGTGAGAGTGCGGACAAAAGAGGGTGTGGTTGTTAGCGATAGATTCTGCGTGTTATCTCTAGAAACTGAAGCAACAGCAGAAGTGTCTTCCTCTGAAAATAAAAATGAATAAAATTAATAATCAAAAATGAAATAAATCATCTATGTACAGTACATGTACATACATGTACACGTATATAGTTTACGTACATGTACATGTAATTACATGTACCACTAACCTGGTAGAGGTGTGATGTCTGATATTTGTCGGCCATGTCCTTCCGGTAAGTACCCAGGAGGATGGAGTGACTCTTCTTTTGAATTATTAAGAGCATTCTCCAGTGACAGCATTATCTCAATCACATAGTTCTTTAGCTCGTCCGAAGGATCTGAGACGGACTCTGCCAGACGAGGAAGAACTTCTCTTAGCATCATGGTACTCAGGGGGACGTTAAGAGCACGACATAACTGGAAGGACTGACTAGCAAACTGCTGTGAAGAACAAGATGTAGCCCACTATAAAATAAAGAGAGAGGGAGAGAAAATAAGTACAATGTACATACACCATACACGGCAATAGAATGTACATGTATATTTATTGTATTACCTGAAGTGCTATCTTGGACCACTTGTCTTTCAGTGAGTCATTACATGATGGTTGAAATACTGATAATATCTGATCCACGAGTTTACAGAGGTCAGTCACTTCACAAGATGGAAGGGAAGAGCAGTCTTTTTGATAAGACACAAGATCAACAAAAGGCCAGCACCTTTTATACTCTCTATAAAGAAGAGAAAAGGAAAATGAGGGTAAAAAATCAAAGCTGTCCATGGTTTTTTCCAAAAAATGGCTTCAAAATCACCTCCACTTTTTATTACATTTTCTGATACATATTGATGTCCTTATGCTACATAGAAAGTCTGAGCCGATTTCGTTTTAAATTTTTCAAGTTATGGCCGTTTGAAAAAATTTGCCAATTTTTGAAAAAATCCCTGTACTATAGCCCATGGTTTTTTCGGAAAAATGGCTCTGAAATCACTCAAAATTTTTATTACATTTCCTGATACATAATGATGTAATTATGCTATGTAGAAAGTTTGAGGTGATTCTGACTAAAATTGTGTGAGTTACCGCTATTTTTAAAAACGGGCCAATTTTTGAAAAATACCCTGTACTATAGCCTATGGTTTTTTCGGAAAAATGGCTCCGAAATTACCCCCAATTTTTATTACATTTCCTGATACATATTAATGTAATTATGCTACGTAGAAAGTTTGAGATGATTCTGACTAAAATTGTTCAAGTTACGGCCATTTTTAAAGATGGGCCAATTTCTGAAAAATACCCTGTACTATAGCCCATGGTTTTTCCAAAAAATGGCTCCAGAATCACCCCCAATTTTTATTACATTTTTGATACATATTGATGTCCAATATAGTCACAATATACAATGTACAAGTACATGTACAGCAAACCTTTCTGAAATATATTTAATCAATGATCTTGCTTTCCTTGCTAGACTAGTTTCACTGGTACCCTCCCTTCCCTCATTTAGACTATTAATGGAGCCACACCTCTGGAGTTCTCCACCCCCACCTTCGTTAGAAGTAAGGGAGAGGAGAGAGGGCGAGTGGAGGAAAGCCTCATGTTGTGTGAGACGTGCCTCACAAGCAGCTCTGTAGTCATCACGACATGCCAATAACACAGTTAGGGAGCAGAGGAGCTTCTTACTATGCTGGTATATCACTGGTCTGTGTAAATCTAAACCTTTAGAAGGAAAATAAGATTTTAAAACAGTATACACTTACTGTTCATGTACATTCTATTTACAACAAAATGTATATGGGGAGCAACATTACTATAAATTCGTGATCATCGTTACTTATTATGGTAAAAATAAACACAAAAACACATACAATTACATGTACACTGTACATGAATGCAAACTTACCAAGAGTGACTACGTGTAACAAAACAGGTAAGTGCGTTGGCCAATCAAACGTGACAATATCTCCAACAATCTCAGAGAGTAAAATTAGAGCAAAGTTATTCCTGTGAAGGTGTGCTACCTGTCGGCACGGCAACTTGAGTGTCTCTTTGACGCTAGCATAAAAGGTCATACTATGAGGAGAAGGAAGGGGCGTCGCCTGGCCTTCGTTAGACCGGACTTCAATCCTCCAGTTAACAGCCCAAGGTGCCTCGTCAGCACTCCAAGTGCTTGCGTGATGGGAGGAGTCTCGTTTGAGGCTACCTGTCTCAGAGCCACGCCCAGACATGCGATAAAAGGGTGGGACCTCGGACGGAAGCATCTCTGCAGTGATGAGGTCTACACAGTGAAGCTCTCGTAGGAGCTCATGGATTATGATGTTGGGATGAGTGTGAGAGAAATATATCATTACTCTTTTAGCCTAAAGGGAGATAAAAATAGATGCAATGTGTACATGTACATGTATGTACATGATGTAAATAAATGGTTCTATCTATTATATTTTTTTCTATTAACAATGGCAATTCTTTTACACAAAATAATGCATTTAGTATACTTTTTTCGATTATTAGTCAACACACATTTTCTATAATAGTAAGTACAAATTTTTTTCTATGAAGTTTTACACTACTTACCTGCTTAAGTATGGCAGTCATGTTACCAGCAAGACAGGAGAGTCTGGCCAGGTAGTTAAGGATAACGCGAATATTGTAAGTCCACGTACTCAAGGCGGACCAAAGGCTCTCGACATCAACTGAATACACATCACCAAACTGGAGAGAAGAAGAGAGAGAAAGATGCAGTGATATATACCTTTTAAAAACTAATTTTAGTACTGTACCTTTGCAGTTAAATAAAGTAAATTATGCAGGACAAGGTGTGTTCCTTCAACAGATCCCCATCCACTTCCACTCAAAACGGGGTTCGTTGATTTAGATCCTACAAGACTCGGGAGGGCGTGGTCTAGCATCACACTAGTCTGCTGCCGAGGGATTTCCTCGACCAGTTCAATATTGCGTAACCAGGGACGCATTAATTGGAGTATGACGTGACGGGACAAGTGTGGAGCATCTTCAAAACGCCGTACCATTTCTAAAATTAATATAATAATAATATGAATTAATTAGTGCCTCCATATAGCAGACACTTATGGACAAGAAAGTTTGTCTGTTATACAGAGGTGTCCTTTATGTGGAGGTTATTTTATACAGTAAGGAATGTAATTGGTACACTAGGTTCTGTCCGTTAAATGGAAGTGTACGCTATAGAGAGTGTCCATTAAGAAAGGCTATACATGTACATGTACTTTAGTAAATAAATGCATGTCGTACCTGAAAATAGAGGCAGTGTTAGTTCAGGGTTAGTAAAAGCTAGTTCTTCGCTGACAGCAACATGTATGTTGGAATAAGTACTACCGGTGATCCTTCCTAATAGCTCTGGACGTCTTGAGCCTCTCTCTCCGCTAGCAAAGAACCTTCTGTCCAAGATATGGAGCAATTGTAGAGCTCTCTCCCTCGTCCTGTGATCCTGACTGGCAGTATAGTAGAGTATCACGTGGAGAACAGTTATCATGTTGCAAGGGTAGGAGGGGCTGTGGAACAATAATTATATAAAAAATAATTTATTTATTCAAAAAAATAAGCAATACATGTGTACATGAACATTACTACTGATAAAAATTATTTTATATTTTTAAATTTTTTATTCAATTTTTAAATACATGAACTACCTGATATAACTGTATTGAGATTGATAAATAATAAAATTTAAATAATTGTTTCCCTCAACTCACTTCTTAGCAAAAGTACTGCAAAGAGCATGAAAGCAAAGAGAGGCACAGGAAGTATTGCTAGCGTAGCAATTATCAGTGACCCATTTAAGAAGGACGGGCTCTCTATTGTACTGTAGCAACAGCTGGACAGTGTTCTGACCTAACTGCTGTATCTGTATACATAATAGAAAAGAAAAAGTATAATAAAAATATTGGAATAATAATGATGATGATTTAAAGGTTTTACTTTTTCTTCCGAAGAGCAGAGCATGTTCTCGAGCCACCTGTATATGTACCTCACTCTTGTGAGAGCCTCTGGCTCAAAGAAAGGACCACAACAGACCAGAGACGACATTGCATGTAACACGGAGGATACGAAGGCAGTGGAACGCAACTGCTTTGAAGTTCTAGAGAGAGAGAGGGAGAGGGAGAAGAATTGTACACATATGTACATGTATGTGTACATACATGTACATGTGTACATGCAAAATTGTACATGTATATGTGAACACTATTACTCATTGCAGTGGTAGATGTAGATGTAGATGTATTATATATTTACTTGTTATCTGGTTCCTCATTAGTCTGATGCCAGAAACCACCTGCCCATCCTGCTATCATGAAGAACATGTCACGCCTCATGTTGGAGGGGAGGAGTCTCGCTCGGGAGAAACCCTCCGGGAAACTATTGATGAGGGAGGATATGAGGTTGGCGTAATGTAGCCTGAGGTCACTGTTAGGAGCAGCAGGTACCGATCTCTCGGACTCTGTCTCTAAAAATAACCTAAAAGAGAGAGAAGAGGATAATGATGCAATTCAAGGAGCAAATTCTCCATTTTTATTACAATTTCTGATGCAGAAAGTTTGAGTTGATTCCGATAAAATTTGGATTTTTTATAAATTTTTTAAGTTGCTCCAAATACCATGTACAATGTACTACTTGTTGTTAGCTCAAGAATCATAGCAGCACATCATATCTTCTCTAGTATATAATGTGCATTTTCTTACTTTATTCCATTGATAAAGTTCAGTATCTGCTGTTGTACTTGTCCTTCTCTATTCAAAGCCGACTGACAGAGATGGAAGCAGCCATGACCAGCTGCAACTGAGAGAACTCGTGTAATGTGGACCCTCTCTATCTCCCTACGTCTCTTCTTCTTCACATTCTGTCATTAATAGAATTTTTTAATAATAAAAATTGAAAAGGATTCTTTTTCGTTTTTCTTACATCACTCTTTCTGAGATCTAGTGCATCATTAATCCATGGGCGAAACTGTTCGATCAAATCACTAAAAAATTTAAAAAAAGACAATTAACTTTTAGGAAGCAATAACTCTTTAATAAAAGCCACACCCATGGTGCTACTGCCACACCCATAATGCTAGTATTGCCACGCCCACTTACCCAAAAGCAGCAGGATTGGCAAGTCCAAGGGCAGTGATGACCACTTCTCCGATCTCACCCTCCGTCCTGATAAGTGGGACTATCATGTAGACAAGATCACGTGCAGTGTACTGTCTTGGATGCTAAACAGCAACAAAAATAATAACGTAAATTTAATAATTTTCAAAAATTTTGAAAAACAAAAATTTTCAAATATTAATTTGCAAAATCTGTAGAACCCTTAAATATTTAGCGCTAAACGTTATTTCAATTAATCAATTTTGTTACACTGTACACATACATGTACATGTACAACCTGCATTTACAGTAGAACCTACACGTACCTTGTCTCCTAGCAACATGCCAGCTTCATACAGGCCCTGAGTGGGCGGGACTGGATAAGGAGTGGAAGAAGGCGGAGCCGAACAACAAGCAAAGAAGAGGTAGTTCCTCCACAGGAAGAGTTCTGGCTGAGAGAGGAACGTCCCACGGGGCGTACGAAGCTGAGGGGCGCGGTCAAACCTCTCGGAAGGAATGAAATTATTATCAAGAACACTGTAAGCCTTTATCATCCTGTGGAGAATGTACGGCCATGCCAGCTGGAATAAATAAAGTAAAAAATATAATTATTTTAGAGCAATAAAAATACATGTTCGATGAGTGTACATGTATATTACGTACAAGCAGTGAACTATTTATGAGCTAAAAATTCATGAACATGTACATGTGTTATGTGTAGATCATTAAATGATAATTATGTGTTAAAGTACATGTATGTATATGTGTTACCTGTACGGCCAGTGGACAGGACGATGGTAGAGCAGTCTGTTCCATTAGTATAATGATACACTGCGACCATGCATCCCTTAGACTCTCCTTGCCTCCTCCATGCTCCAGAAAACAAGCGTTCCTATCGGCCAACCACCAGAGACTAAGGTTCTGTTGATTCACACGTAGATCAGCCTATTAGTGGTGGGTGGGTCAGTAGGTGTGGTTAGTTATAATAAGGCTTACCCTTTCTTTCTGTGTTAATATTGAGAGGTAGGATCTTATTATTGCTGGGGTTGTTCTCTCCATGATGTCCAGTACTCTAACTGTGTCTGATACGCTGGTATTACCACCTACTTCAACCTATAAAAATAAATAAATAAATAAATAAATATGTTTAATAAATGAATGTAGATAGTTTAATTTGTAATAATGACAATAAAACGTCTTGTTTCTAAAATATAAATACACATCTGTTTAATCTCCTGCAGTACCTTGTAAGCTCTTAATGCTTCCAAACAGGACCTGACCTCCTTCAAAATGGCTAGGGACAATCTCCTCGTCATTGATCGATACGAACAGAACGTCACCAAAGCACACGCCTCAACGCTACACATAGCAGTAAACGGTAACTCAACTCCCTCCCTTGACCCTTGGTCCTTTCTAGCCTTCCCCCCACTCCCCAAAATGTCATCAAAAGCTCCTGATACAATACTCCTCCAGTGGGTTAAAAGCTGTCCCAGAACCTTTAGGGAAGATTCCAGAACCAGTGGGGTACTATCGGGAATGTCCCGCATTACAAATACGGAGAAAACTTGGACAATGTCGGGCCTCCATGAGGGAAGGTTTGTTATGATGTTCATTAGAGCTGTCACTGACATTCTGTGGAAAGAGAGAGAGGGGGGGAAAGTAAGAATGTCACAATGCATGTGCACATGTACATGTACATCTGTACTGTACATGTAGATGTAAAATGATTTTCCTACTAACTTGACTAGTTCCGGGTCGATGTGTATAGTGAGTCTTGAGAGACACTCTATCAGTTCTTCTTTAGCAATTCCTTCGGGCAGGAGGCGAGGAATAGCAGCAACACAAGTCTTGAGTAGATCGAGTTTAGGTTTACGCTCACCACTGAAGAAAAGGAGAGAGAGAGAGAAGTTATTGAATACAGTAATTAAAAAAATTGAAGTCGGAATCGGCTCAAACTTTCTTTATAGCATAAGGACATCAATATGTATCAGAAAATGTAATAAAAATTTGGGGTGATTTCGGAGCCATTTTTTGGAAAAAACCATGGGCTATAGTACAGGGATTTTTTCAAAAATTGGCCAATTTTTTCAAATGACCATAACTTGAAAATTTTAAGTCGGAATCGGCTCAAACTTTCTACACAGCATAAGGACATTAATATGTATCAGAAAATGTAATAAAAAGTGGCGGTGATTTCGGAGCCATTTTTCGAAAAAACCATGGGCTATAGTACAGGGATTTTTTCAAAAATTAGCCAATTTTTTCAAATGGCCATAACTCAAAAATTTTAAGTTGGAATTGGCTCAAACTTGCTACACAGCATAAGGACGTCAATATGTATCAGAAAATGTAATAAAATTCTGACCAGAAATAACCTACAGTTATTCCTCAAAACTGGTTCCACTGCATATTACATGCACACATTGTACACTGTACACTGTACAGTATAGGTACATTATACATGTACTGTACATTGTACATGCATTACTGTTACCTTAGAGCATCTTCAGGAGCTCTTGCCACTTGTGAATTAGTAGACACAAGAGGTCTACCCACAGAGAGATCCAGCTGCTTCAAAATACTACTCAAAGCCTGACACACCCTATAATACTCTCGATAAATGGGTGGAGTCAATCAGTGTAGCTTACGATGGATAATAAGATGCTATACCGATCTCTTTGGCTATCTTTTCCGTTAGAGTATTCGTAAGGAACTTTGTTTTAGTCCGGGTGACTGAGCCGGAGAGAGAGGAGGAATTGAGGGCGGGAGGCATGGGGGGATCACCCTCTTTCTTCTCAAGACTATCAGCAATCATTAAGAATGCACGTAGTCCAATGATTATCCTCTGAAGAAAAAAATAGAAAAAAAAGGGAGAGACAATTAATGGTATTATGTACATGTATAGTACATATACATGCAAAATTGTACTTCATGTACATGTACAGTATGTACATGTACAGTAAATGTTTATACATAATCATATAATTGTACATGTACATGTACCTCATAATTGAGTCCTCCTCTGTTCTTTGTGACTAGATCAACAACAATATCTGGCATAGCATACTCTATCCTTTCCTAAGGAGAGGGAGAGAGAGAGAGAGAGGGAGAGGGAAAGAGAGAGAGAGAGAGAGAGAGGAGAGAAGGGAGAGTTTAAAATATACATGTGCATGTACATACAATATGACAATTGATGAGTTTCAGTAACATACTCTTGCTATGAAGTGGATTATCTTCACAAAGATGTTTGGAGGGAAGTCTTTGAGTAAGAGACCACGCCCACCGGAACGAGGAAATAAAAGCTCAATTATTGGTTTTAGACGCCTGAGAATATGAGGTATGGGAATGGAGATATAAAGTATGGGAATGAAAACATGAGCATGGGAGCTAGTACATTAAGACTCACTGAAAAGTAGTAACATTGCCTTCACCTTTAATACGTATCAAATAAATCCTAAAAAATTGCATTAATAAATTCATCAAGGCATCAAATAATAAAGTTATTAAAATATATTAAAATTAGGGCATTAATTAGAGCACCACTTACCACAACAGACGATAGAGTGAGTCCAATGCTATCCACTGAAGTTTAGGATCATTTTTCTATAAGAGGGTGTGGCTCAGTAAAGGGCATGGTTTCAAAAAGGAGCTAACCTTTAGGTTTGGGAAAATTATCTGAAGGACGAAATTGTGCCAATTATTGAGAAAATAAGCATCTTCACTGATGGCCAGAAGCACAGTAACCAATGGAATATAAGCCTTGGAAGAGCAATACAATATCTTAATACTATTATACATGTACATCCTCTTACAGCACTGTGTTTTCTCTTTGCTTGATCGTATGCATGGCTGTATAGAGTTGACACAATCTTCTTAAAAGCTGGCATTGATACTTCGTATTTAATGACAGAAGCAACGGGAGTTAGGACCTCAACCAGCAAAGCACTCATGGCGTGTCTAACCTTCTCTCCTTTACCACTCTCCAACATGTAATTAGCACAATCCTAGAGAGGGGGGAGAGAGAGAGGGGGGGAGAGAAAGAGAGAGAGAAAGAGAGGGGGGGAGAGAAGGAACAAAGAAAAGTATATAGAGATATAAAGAGAAAATGGAGTAAGAGTATAATCGCTTGTCTTTCATTACTTGAAGAAATCTCAGCCATCCCTCCAGCTCTTCCACTGGGTACATCTTAACTCTCACAAAACTGAGCCCCTCAATCACACTGATGATAACAGATATAGTGTTCTGGGGGTTCTTGAGCTCGGCAAAGAACCTCATCCGGACGGATAGAAACCTCACCTGAGACAGAACCCCAATCACTTCAGCGTACAGATCAGCAACACGTTTAGCATTAGCGACATTAGGATTATTAGTACTCCTGAAAGAAGCAAGGAAAGAGAGGAAAGAGGGAGAGAGAGAGAGAGAGAGAGAGAGAGAGAGAGAGAGAGAGAGAGAGAGAGAGAGAGAGAGAGAGAGAGAGAGAGAGAGAGAGAGAGAGAGAGAGGGAGAGAGAGAAAGGAAGACATGCAATTAATGGTTAAAATACTATTCTCACTACAACCACATACAATCTGCTGCACACAGATTCAATGTCCATACTAGTAGAGTATATGCATTATCATTCATTATATGTACAAATGTATCCTTGAACATATAGACACACTCTTCATGTATTGAAGCAAGATGAAGTAGTAGGTGACACTTGCCTCTCTTTGAGTGGCTCTTGTGCTTTGAAGTGGTTGAAAGCAAGTCCCTCGATAGTGTGGATGAAATTCTCCGGGACTGGGTGAACTGGAAGCTAAAAATAGAACAAATGAAATATCATCATTATGATACTAAAATAGAACAAGTGAAATAGCATCATTATGATACTAAAAATAGAAAAAATGAAATAGCATCATTGTGATACTAAAAATAGAACAAATGAAATAGCATCGTTATGATTATTACTAAAAATAGAATTAAATAGCCCATTTTACTAAGAATGGAATGAATTACATCAGGACAGGATAAGTGAGAAAGGAACACGATACTTAGATAAGAATCCAAAATATGTCAAAAATATTGTTTTTCCTGCCACCAAACATGCTATGCAGAAATGTACTATTATAGTAAAGGCACAATCATGATAATAATGTCCTTTTAATTAGGTAATTTAAGGTAAAATTTGTCAAAATTTGGTAATGATTAAAATTATAAATATGTTTCATTGTGCAGTGCAAAATAAATTTAGATTGAATATTTTACAACTTTAAAAATAATAATAATAATAATAATGATAATATTGATGATGATGATGATAATGATGACAATAGTAATAATAATGATAATAATAATAATAATCATAATAATGATACAATTTTATTTACTTGTTGCAGTATTTCAGTAAGAGTCATACAGAAGATGAATTCAACCGCCAGCTGCTGTCTCTCAGAATAATACTCAACCTCTTTCTTTGACAGAGTCTGTGGAGAATCAGACGTATCACTAAAGAGAAGAGAGAGAGGAGGGGAAGAAGGAAAAATGAAAAGAAATGGTAAATTGCTGTCAAAACATTCAACAATTTGTCAACAGATTCACTCCTAACAATCGCTATAAATGGCAAAAACAAAGTACTGAAGCCATCAATGAGAAACAAGAATTCTAGCACAAGAATGCTACATGCAAATTTAAAAACATGTGCACGTCACATGCACCTGTACCTAGTAGACGCCGTCCATGTTGTTTTGCTCTGTATCTCCTTGATGCACCTCTTCCTCCATTCAAATAAAATGGTGAGCATTGATCTCAAACTAAACCGAGCCACGTCTTTAAGAGACGCCAGTAACTGATCGAGCGTTGGGTCATCCCCTCTTTGAATGTACTTGCTCAAAGGATTGGCCTATGCATAAAGAGGCGGAGAAATAGGAGGGGTCAAGTACATTGGTACATTCGTAATACAAATGTAATGAAATTTTACACAAACTCTCTCTCCCTTTCTCTTCTACTCTTTTCCCTCCTTACCAGTGGCTGTGTGGACACATGCTTCAGTTTGCTCTCGGCAGTCACCACAAACTGAGCAAATAACTTCTTGAGGATGAGTTCCCCGGGAGAGTACGAGGCAAGAGCCGCCACGTCGTCCCGTCTACTAGCACCGGCAAGACTGCCAGCGCTCGCCATTAGGTCAGGAAGACGTCGAAAGAGAAGAGAGAAGACGAGAAAGAGAAGGTTATGGAGGAGTGTACTCCACAGTGCATTGAAGTGAAAGAAATAACTTCGTAAATTCGTTAAATTAGAAACAGGCAAAGTTTGAACCACGTGCGTACACGTGGTCAGTGGAGTACAATGAAGCCTCATAATCATATCGAGGCCTGCGCGCCTGCTGCAGCCAAAGATGCTGTTATATTTCTTTCTCCTTCACATATTAGGAGGCTTTCTAGTAGAGGGGTGGCACCCTTCTTCGTCTGTGCCTTGCTCTCCTCCCCCAGGCTACCTACCATTGCCATGCAGAGTTATTAGGGAGCTGAACAGTACTAGTGAGAGACTACCACCAATAACATATGGGTGAGAAGATCTATTATACTCCATGGACTTGCAGTATGATTGAATGAAATGTGGTTAAATTTTTATTTTTACATCATTTAAATACTTTCTTGTTGCACAGTGATTATGATTATAATATATAAATGCATCTCTCTCTTCTCTCTTGCATGTGCAGTGTTAATGTCTGTCGGGTTTTAAAGAGGAATCTTGTATCAGTGTACAACTATCACTGGCAGACCAGATGTGGCTGGTTATATCAGCATTATTCCTATGTATGGAGATGCAGGTAAGGCTAGAAATAAAAGTATGCAATAAAAAGCAGCAATATAATACCAACAAATACTGTGCGGTTGGTAAATTTCCTGGGGTATTAATTTCGTTAATTTTTTTCCATTTTTCAGTCAACAGTGTGTCCCAGCTGGTACTTGCTCTGATACTACGACTATCCAAGTTTCCTCTAGGGACCAGTGTTGTGATGGCTTTATGCCTCGTCCTCCAGTGAAGAGAAGCCACTTGTACCAGTTCTACAGTCAGTTCTTCATACCTGTGGTGAGTCAGCCTAGTGGCTGCCCTTTAGGTAAGTGAAAAGAAATAAAATGTTGCAAAAATAATAATTTTTTTTAGCTTGGGCCTCCACACTTTACCGGTGTCTTGAAATCCACAGCTTAACTTCTTTCCTTACTCTTGTTATGATTGCAAACAGGACAAGCGAGTTAAACACGACAGATGCAGATCTCACCATCTTTGCTCCTCCAAATGCAGCCATTGATGCCCTCAATCTCTCAAGTGTGAGAGAAGTGGAGCATTTCCTTTCTAATCACATCCTCCGAGAAGATAAAAAATCCGAGAGACTAACTCATAATCTCATGCTCCAGAGTGACAACGGTACAACTCTATACGTGACAGTGGTCGACCATTATTACTATATACCTCTCATATATGGTCATTCTGTACAGAGGTATACGCATGGGGCAAATCCTTATAGCTATAACTACTATAACACTCATCAGAGCCAGTACATACTGCTGGGAACAGTAAGTCCTACATGATTATATTATACATGCTCTTGATTTATCAACTTTCCATGCAACATTACTGTACTAATTACTCTCATTCTTAGGATCGATACATTACTGGCTCGCATATCATTAATCCTGACTCATGCTCCATCAGTAAAGGCTCACTGCACCTCCTCAACTGGCACATACCTTACTCTCCCTACAGACTCTCATATCTTCTCCAAGCCTCCAGCAATTACTCTCGCTTCAAGACTGCCTTGGATGCCACTGGTGTGACTAATTTTCTAGACTCTTCTCCTTCTCCCCACACTATCCTTGCTCCAGTAGATGCTGCATTTGAATCCTGGCCAGAACTCTTGTGGCAATGTCTCCTTTATTTTGATCGTCGGCCTCTCAATAGTATTTTACTGTTTCACATTGCTACTGGTACGGAATATTATTCATCTTTGCTACAGAGAAAGTGGCTAGCAACAAGACTAAATCAACATATACAGGTATGAGAATAGGAGAAAGAGAGGAGTATTTGTAGCTAATATTTCTCTTTTATATACTATAGTTATTCAATACTGCCAATGAGGTATTTCTGACAAGTGATCGCGTACCTATACTGCATAGAGATCAAGCAGCTAGTGATGGGGTGCTCCATGGCATCGGCTTTATACTAATGCCTGATAATGTTGATTTCGGACAATGCCAGCCTTTTGCTTCTGTAACTCCTACCCCAGCCATGTCACCGACTCCTTCAATGGCAGCATCTCCTACACCTCTGCCTCCAATCATTAGCTCTGATTTGAATGATTTCCTCAGTGAAGCTTCAATCCTTCCAAGTCTAACTCCAACTCCAACTACAAATTTGTCTAATAATGGAGCGGAGGGTGGCAGTCACAAATAGAGTGTGAAAGAATTTTATAACTTTGCTATTTGTAGTATTTTGTGCAGAACACAACAGTTTTTTTTGAATTTATTGGCAGCTTGTTTTGTGCGGGTGACATCATAACATTGATAATCTCCCAACAACCTGCCAATGTTATAAATATTTTACTATTTTAATACAATTCACTTGACAATACAGTGCTCCCGATTAATGCCCATGGACCCATTAATCTATAATCAAGGCTATACTAAAAATATTAAAACGCACTATAACAATAAATAATAATAATAATAATAATATCTATATTAATTACATAACGGTTAATCTGTTTACTGCCGATAAAGACTCGTATACTATTTCTCCTTCGATTACTGTAGCAATCACATCAAACCCTCTCTCTCCTTCTCTCCGGTCACCTCCTCCTTGAGAAGGGGGCGGAGTCAGAAACACAATGTCCGCTTTCGCTCCATACTCAAGATGACCTTTGTCCTTTATATTAAGAGCTTGGGCTGGATGCAAACTTGCTGCTTCAAGAGCAGCCTGTATGCTACAATCTATTGTATATCACATTAGGAAATTATTAGGGTCACTATTAGGATATTATTAGGATATTACCTGTCGCTTCATAAAACTGTGCCACGCATTCATTCATTGAAGTGATCCTGTACAAAAAATAAATGAAACACTTTTCTTTTCGCTTCTCACCCTCCTGCTAGATTATTAGTTCCAGCAACTACAGCTTTGTTTCCTTTTCGCTCAATCATCATCTCCCCCAGCTGGAATAACTCGGTCTGTCTCTCCTGACAAAACAATGGTAGTGCATCAGTCACCAGTACAACGCCTAAAAATAAAAATAAAAATAAAATGCAATCATATATAAACATACTATAGATTACTAGAGCAGGGTTTCCCCACAAAGCATGCTAAGTGAGCTAAACAGCATGAGCTTCATGAGTTGACAAGCACTACAATACAGTACATGGCATTTGGAGCAACTTTAAAAATTCGTAAAAAATCCAAATTTGATCAGAATTAGTTCAAACTTTCTATGCAACATAAGAACATGTATATGTATCAGAAAATTTGATAAAAGTGGAGAATTCTCTCCTTTCCAATTTTGGCAAAATTTGGCCCGAGACCATGTACTATAGTACAGGGTCTTTGGCCTGATTCTGAAGCAACTTTAAAAAATTCGTAAAAAATCTAAATTTGATCGAAATCCATTCAAACTTTCTACACAACATAAGAACATGTATATGCATCAAATAAAATTATAAAAGTGGACAATTCTCTCCTTTCCAATTTTGGCAAAATTTGGCCCGAGACCGTGTACTATAGTACAGGGTCTTTGGCCTCATTTTGAAGCAACTTTAAAAAATTCGTAAAAAATCCAAATTTGATCGGAATCTGTTCAAACTTTCTACATAACATAAGAACATGTATATGCATCAAATAAAATCATAAAAGTGGGGATTTCTCTCCTTTCCAATTTTGGTGAAATTTGGCCCACGACCATGTACTATAGTACAGGGTCTTTGGCTCAATTTTTGAGCAACTTGACAATCCACTCACAATACCAAAATCCTGTGGAAAACAGATTACTAGAATATGTAAGAAATTACTGGAATATACTAGATAATTACGAGGAAATTACTAGCAAAATCCTTTACCTTGTGGGTTAGCATTGTTTGCAATCCTTTGGACAGTCTCGTGCGTGTGATGACCGTCAGCAATCAGGCCATAATATACAGGCCGTTGATCTAGCTTAAGACTAGTAATAAGACCAACAATACCAGGATCACGATGATGAAACTAAGAAAAAAGAAAAGACGAAAATGATAAAAGAAAAAGAGTCCCTTTCTTTCCCCTTACAGGTAGCATAGCATTGAATAAATGGGTGATCAGTGAAGCACCATTTTTAACTGCTCTCTCAGCCGTTTCTAAATCAGACAGAGAATGTCCCAAAGACACTACCACCTCCTTATCAACCAGCCAAGGGATGACATCATCAGAACCAGGGAGCTCAGGGGCTAATGTTACAATGCTGATGTTATGCTTCATATCATTAAGTGTTGTGTATGAAGAGAGGATTCTCTCTTTTGTTAGTTCTTCATCTTGCACATAGATCTCTTTGTGGGCTCCTTTCTTGCTCTTGTTAATGAAAGGGCCTTCGAGATGTAAACCTGAAAATGGAGAGAGAGAGAGAAGTTAAAATACTAGAAAATAAGAAGACAGAAATTAAGAAAAAAAAGAGGACAAAATACATGTACAAATACATGCAAGCTCATACCTAAAATGGCTGCTCCATGTTTTCCTCCAACACTAGTTTCCATCAATGGTAAAAACTAATAAAATTAAAGCATGTGTATGAGGTTACAATAAATATGACTCTGTACCTTCTGATAGTATTCTTTTGACGATGTGACTACAGTTGGGCAGTAACCTGTGACGCCATGTTGTAAGAGAAGCTTAGAGACAGTCTCCAATCCTTCTCTAGCTTCACTTGGACTCGAAAAAGAGCTGAAGTCATATCCACAAGCTCCTTCAGAAATAGAAAGATGTTAAATCAAATTGTATTAGTGGAGAAAATTGTTCATAATACTACTGAAATCAGCTCAAACTTTCTATGAAGCTCATTTTTATTACCGCCCACGCCCATTCATAGTTTATTATAACAATACCATTAATTTGCAAGTCGATGAAACCAGGTGAGGCAATCAACCCATGGCAGTCATACGTTACAGTGGCTGACTTCTTTTCTTCAAAGAACAACTTCATTGGATCCAACACTAGACCATCTCTCACCCACACGTCCCCATCCTTCAGTTCTCCTCCTCTCAGCACCTTACAGTTAGTGTAGCGTATTATTATAGGCTCTGGGGACGTGGTCTCTTTCTCTTTGTGTCGGAGAGAGGAGGAAGAGCATGCAGCCATGCTTAATTTACTCTAATTATCTCTGGATTAGATCCTCGAGTAGATTTGTGGCACAGATAGCAGCTTCAGCAGCCATACAAGACACGCCCCAAAAGCAGCCACACCCAAAAAATAAATCTTAATTTATTATTATTAACTACAAAGCTACATAATTTTTACAACTAAGTTTTGCATAATGCTCCTCCTTTGATGATTATTCTCTTTCCTCTTGATCTATGGAGAAAGAAAAATAATTAAAATACTAATTGCACTAACTTAAAATCATTAATAAAGCAGTTTAGGGCAAGCGAGACACTTTCCATTAACTTTGAGTTGGAATGACTTCCCACGGAGAGTCCTACAGCATGTGGGAATACCATCCCTATCCTCTTCAATTGCCTGCAAAGATAAAGCAGTACAGCATTAACAAAAAATAAATTAAAGCAAAAAATTAATCAAATTAAAACAGATCTAGATTACAAAAGCCATTATCCATTGCACAAATAAGTTGATTATGCAACATTACAAGGAAAAGCATTTTTCTGTCTGCATAATTTATAGATTCATATGCTTACCACAACATTTCCTTGGCATTCAGCTTTAGTGTAGCAATAGAGGAACTCATCACGAGCAGTCAAACATGAGTAGCAGACACCGCCTGCAGAGATCTCAGTATAACTGTATGACTGACCCTTGACTATGCTACTGCAGCATAATGCAGGATCCCTTTCCATTGACTGCATTGAAAAAATGGATAAATTCTTGCTAAGTCCTTGCTTAATAAATAAGGGTGCTAGGGTAGATCTCTTACATAAAGCAAATCCCACACATTCTGCATGCATTACTTAAGTCTTGCATTTACTGTATTAACTAATAGACATGTGCTTGATTATCTTACAATGCTTGGTCCTTGGCATCCTGCTTGACGTGAGCAATAGAGAAAATCCTTATTCCTCATCCCGGTAGACAAACTAACAGCACAAACAGCAAATAAGAACAAAAAAGCAGATAACTTGACAGCCATTGTGAATCCTCCTATACTGTCTCTCTCCTTAACCACAGGATATGAGCTATAGTAGTATTTATGCCAAGCTTTGCATGATTATAGCAAGATTATGTACTCTTGAATATAGTATAGCATCAGTGTAATATAAAATGGTAAAATTCCTAGTACTATTTGCATGCAAATCACTGATTGAGAGCATTAGCAATGCCAAAAACTCAGAGGTGCCTTTCAAGAAGATAAGAGTAAGTATAGTAACACTACATACACTTATTATCAGAAATAGTAATGCCCTTTGGTAATTATATATGCTGCAACAAAATAAACCACTCCACCACCTAATCTTAAGGTAGACTTCATCAATTATAATAATTATAATATTATTATTACGAAAGTAAACATTTTGACAAACTGAAAAAATTGTGCACCCCTCTGGATCTCAGAGTTCAAAAGAGAGAGAGGGGGAAAGAAAAAAATGAGAGAGAAAGAGATAAATGTGAAGAAAAGGGAAAACATTGCATGAAAGAGACAAAATGTGAAAAATGGAAATAAACACGAAAGTGACAACAAAAGAAATAACAACAACAACAATAATAATAATAATGGTTATTAAACTCAGTTCTGTGAGAGAGAAATAGAGAGTGAAGTGCCGTATTTTTTCCCTTCTGCTTCTTTTCAAAATAGCAAAAGAAAGCAAAAGAGGACGGCCATTACAAACAGAAGCTGTCTTGTTATATTAATAATAATACTAGTAATAATAATAATAATAATAATAATAATAATAATAACTGCAGGTGTGACTAGTGTAGTAAGAAATGATAACAATATATCATATAACATATTTAGATATAATAATAATAATAATATTGAAGAGAAAGGAGAGAGAGAGGAGCTAGGGAAGCTATGATGACTGCTGATCTTTACTATAATAAGTTCTAAAATGTTGGCTCATCACTGTATTATTATTATTAGTGTTAGTATTAGCTCCGTACTGATGATGATACTGCAACATCTGCTGCTGAGGTGGTTCCCCCATGCCTCCCATACTACCCATACTACCCATACCTGGATCCATCCCTCCTGGTCCACGATACTGATGCATGCTAAACCTAGCAGGCTGCATCATCGGCCCGGCTCCAGGAACAGGACCCATTCGCTGCATCATCGCTGGGTGGGGCTGCTGCTGTTGCATCATCATATTCTGCTGGTACATGTTCATCGAGGGGCGTGGCTGCATTTTCATGGCTGCATACTGAGGAGGAGGGGCTTGCATGCCGTAAGATGGATACTGAGGACGTTGTAGTATGTGCTGAAGGTGAGAGTGACCCGGGGCGGCCATTGGTTGTCCCTGGTAAGGCATACGGTTGTGAGTCATGTGTGGGTTGCCTCCAGGATAGTGGTAGTGATTAGGCATCATTGTATTACTAGAAGGCATCATGGGCCTTTGCATTGGTTGCATAGGCTGCATTTGTACTTGCGGACGGACCTGAGGCGACATGTAAGCCCCACCCCCAACAGGCTGCTGTGGGTGTGGCGGCCTCGACACATAGTTCCCAAATTCTTGCTGCAAGTAAGAGACCTCCTTGTCACGTGAGAGATACTGGAGTCCTTGAATCACTCGCGGTACAAGCTCAGTGTGGGTTCTTAGATACTCTTTGGCTTTTAAATTATCTTGAGGGGACGGAGAGCAAAGAGCCTGAACCAGCTTCTGAATGTTGTTCTCCATAAGCTGAGGAGACTGCATTGCTGCTCCTGGGGGCTGTACGGTAACATTAGGAGAAGAGCCGTCTTTGGCTGGAGTGAAGGGAGTAGCTGGACCAGGTGGAGCAGGGCTCGGAACAGGTACCATTGCTTGTGGGTTCGGAGTGTGTGGATTAGGAGACCCCACTGCTTTACCGGGTGTTTGGGCGGGATGAGGTGTAGGCGGGGCAGGGGAGGGGTTTGGTTTATTAGCGCTCTCCTCGCTAGTAGTGGTAGGAGGGGACGGGTGAGAGCGATTCATGGCCATTATTCGTCGGTCGGCAAGTTGAAAACTTCTAGCCTGCTCTCTCATTCGTCTCTCTCTTGTCTTCTTTTTCAAATTAGCACATAACGGGACTGGACACTTGATCTCGCGACACTCTTGAGCGTGAGCCGCACACAACTTGACAAAGAAATTACAGACAGAGCATTTCCCTGATGACCTCATCTTACAGTTTTGGGCGTGTCTCAGTAACTGCTTCATCTTAATACAGAGCTGCTTAGAGCACGAGCTGTCCCTGCACTGACAGGCATGGATGAGGAACTCGATTCGTCGCTTCTGCATCTCCACACGAGAGACGGTAGTTGAGACAGAAGAGGATTTGGGGTCTTCATCTCCCATATTGAAACCGAGCCTCTCCATCGGGTGCTCGTGACCAATCTTATGATAACAGGTGGTGCAGAGATCGTAATCCTAACATCAGTAAACACAATGATAACTTTTAAAACTAAAAGTACATGTACATGTACAATCATGCATTCATTTTAAAGTTTGCTCCAAAATTTGGTCAGAAGAGAATTCTCAATTTTAAACTTTTTTCTAATACATACATGTATAAACATTCTTAGGTTGTGTAGAAAGTTTCAATTGATTCTGATCAAAATGAGATTTTTAATGAATTTTTAAAAGTTACGTACATGTACAGTGTATATTGCATACTGCTTACCTCACATTCCTTACAATGCCACCTAAACTCCACGTCGGTGTTACAATTATTACAACAATAAATAAACCTGTCTCCCTGATTGTGCAACTCATACAGCATTGACATTGTCGAGAACTTTGCTCTACGGAGCGACGAGAACTCCCAGTGCTTCTCTCGGGCGAGGTTAAGGAAAGCGTCGCGTCCGTCCATCAGCTCACAAGTGACGAGAGAGTCGGGATCAGACGTCGTAGGAAGAGGAGAGGTGATCTGATTGGGAGGCTGAAGATATACTACAAAAAATACCTAAAAAGAAAGAAGACTATTAATACATGTATACATGTACATGTACAGTATATGTAGATTCGGGTAGTATTATGATTATCCAATTACAGTTATACATGTACATGTACATGTACATGCACATTGTACATTTTAGTAAAAAATGATTCCCCCACTTTGTATGCATTTTTGTACATGTACACTGTAATTGCTTTTAGTATTAGTTTTAACATGTAGCTATTAATTTACAGATATAACTATACCTCTTTATGCTTGTCCATGGTTTGGTAGATCTTTTGAGTGAGGTCGTCCCCACTGACCAAAGGGTTAGCCTTCTTTCCCATCTTTGGTCTGCTCGTTGCTTTCTTGCTTCCTTTCTTACTGGTCCCTCTTTTACCAGCTTTCTTCGAGCCTGCGCCACGCTGTTGCTGTAAAAAGAGATAGAAAATAATTTAATTTTACTACATTGTGCCCAAGCATTAGTACAAGTACAGGTGATGTCAGCAAAAGTTAATGAGGGAATGATAGCGCAATCTCTTTGATGAGGAAAGGAAAGCCTTATTATGGGTTGAGGTGCAAATGCGATAAATTAGCACATATCACTTTGAAATCATAAAACAGTCTTGCATGTTTCTTTTCTTTCTCCCCCCCCCCTCTCTCTTTCCTTCTCTCTTTTTCTCTCCCTTACATCAACAGATAATGCTTCTGATGCTTTTCTCTCCTGATCCAACTCCTTTATAGTCTCTTCAATAACATTAGGCCAGAAGTCACCCTCAAAATAAGGTATATCGGTAACAGTAGTGATCTCCTCTTCCACACAATACTGGAATATGTCTTGAAAGTCACAGAGGACAGACTGGTCCTTCCCTCTCTCCAGCATGTTCCGGTACCACTCCACTAGTCTTTTTGGCTTCGGTATCTTCTGCTCCATAGGATGACAATGAAAAATGTAGTCATCACCTTCTCCAGGCGGACAGGCCCATATATGAGCTGTCTGGAAACTGTAAGGAGAGAAATAAAGGAATAAAAATATATAGGAATGAAAAAGAGAGAGAGAGGGAGGAGAAAGAGAGAGGAGGAGAAAGAGGGTGCTTAGTTCTTCTTACCCGTTCTGTTTGCAAAACTCAAGGTATCCGATCAAAATCTCGTGATAGACGAGGGTACGGTATTCCTTGGGTCTGAAGAAGTGAACACTATCCAAGTACGATATATACACACGTCTGGGGACAAGAAACAAATTAATATCAATTTAATATTAAAATTTAAATAGTACAGAAATACATGTACTTATATACAATATGTACTACAAGGGATTTTTCTCTATTACCTAGTGTTAGGGGCGGGACAGTCAGACCCATACTCCTGTACGTGCATACCAAAGAAGCAAACTTCTGCTCCATCAATTTCTTCGAAGACAAAAAGAGCTTTCGTACGATATGGGAATTGAGAGGGGAAATAAGAGAACCTATCCATCATACCTAAAAACAACAATAAAAACAATAATAACAACAATAAATTAATTAACATATTAATTTTTGATTTTAAAACATGCTTATACTCAATTGTGGGCGTGGTTAAGGGCGTGGCTTGCAACTCACCCAGTCTAGTGTCGAGTAGTTTATTTGACGAAGACACGACACGAATAGTAACTTCAGCCCCTGGGACATTAGCGTTTCTTAAAAACGAGTTGACACGCTCCTCTAAAAATGAGCCTAGCTTAGTAGTAGGTAATCCTAGAGAAAAAAGAAAGAGATTAATCAATATGTACATTGTAAATACAATGTACATGCATGTGTATATGTACATGTACATGCATGTATGTGCAATAAATATAATAGTATTTAACCAGCAAACATGTACATGTACAGTACTACATATAGTCTTGTATTGTGATACATTACATGTACGTTGTACTATGTACAATGTTATGCAGTTGCTTACTCTTTGCAACGAATCTGTTATCTTTTCTGGTGGTCCTCAGTCTCTGCAAGCAGTTGCAGCACTGGTAGCCTTCAGGCCAAATTGCATCATGATATAATACACAAATCTTATGGAAGGACCTCTTACAATGAATACACTCTACCATCCTAAAGAGAGAAAGAGAGAGAGAGGGTAAGTTGACATGTTTAAAAAGAGCTTTTGACAATTTGAGCTTTTAAAATGGCCATAACTTGAAAATTTGAAGTCGAAATGAGCTCAAACTTTCTACACAGCATAAGTACATCAATGTGTATCAGAAAATGTAATAAAAACTGGGGGTGATTTCAGAGCCATTTTTTGGAAAAAACCATGGGCTATAGTACAGGGTATTTTTCAAAAAATGGCCTATTTCTTAAAATGATCATAACTCAAAAATTTGAAGTCGGAATGAGCTCAAACTTTCTACACAGCATAAGTACAGCAATATGCATCAGAAAATGTAATAAAAATTGGGGGTGATTCCGGAGCCATTTTTTGGAAAAAACCATAGTAAAGTATTTTTCAGAAATCGGCATATTTTCAAAGTGGCAAAAATTGCACCTCAGACTTCTAAATAGCATATAAAAGTAGAAATCCTCTTACGGTTCAATCCCAACAGAGTCATTCTTCATTTCCTTGAAAGCTCCTTTGGGTAGTGAAGTATTGCTAGTACCATCTAAACTGACTGCTACACTATCACCAGGAATCTCAGTAAAACACTTAGTACAGTACACATATCTACAGGAGGAAGAAGAAGTGAAGAGAACGAGAGAGAGAGAGAGAGAGAGAGAGAAGGAGGGAAGAATTAAGAGAGGGTTGAAGGAAGAAGAAGGGAGAGAAGTGTCGATTTGATTCATATAAATATTCTTTTGTTTCTTTACTTGTTCTGATAGCCGTAATAAGGAGAGTCTCTTGGAATGGGACACAATTTCCCATAACAATACAAGACTTGTGGATGAAAAACATGCTAAAATAAATAAATAAATAAATACATGTAAATAAATAAATAGATATTTTAAATAAAATGTGTACATGCTTACAAAATTTTTTTAATATTAGTACAAATTCATGTACATACATGTATTCGACAATGCATACATGTACATATGTACATGTAGTATAATGGAAGTGGTTGTGGGCGTGGCTAACCTTTTGTCCACAGCAATACCCAAGGCTGACCATGGCCTGGTCAATATTCTCGTAAAACACTTCGTAAAGTTTCGAACAAAACTTATAAACCCTTGAAGTCTTCTTGTTGTACGTCCAAGCATTATCAAACATTAACTGAATATCATCACAGAACTGGAGGGGGAGGAGACTCGTTACCATGGTTACAGGGGAGGGGCCAGCTTACCTGCCAGGGGTTCGAGTAGCTCCCGTCCTCAAGCTTCCGCCGAATAATAGAGAGATCAATCGGGTTCTTAATAATATCAAAATAATCCTAAAATTAAGAGGAGAATGGAGAATAAAATAATAATTATTAGGCAACTAAGCAATAGAATATAGTCACTGTTAGATCTAGAGGGAGTTTAAAAGATTTTTGGTTTATCAAAAGCTATTTCTAGATCTAACAATGAATATGTGCATGTGGATACACAAGCACAAAAATGACCATTAATATACTAACAGGTATTCCAAGGTCAATCGGGTTGACTGGTTTCTTAAAAGGCTCCGACTCAGGCTCTTGTCTTATCACTACATTAAACACTGGCATCAGTGCATTCTCAATCTCATCATGAGTAAATATCTAGAGAGAAAAATACAAGCAAAAATATAAACACAAAAAATAAAACAATAAAAGGAAACTTCTTATTACACTACATTTATACATGTACATGCATGCTATGCCTGTACTGTATGTTATATGCTGAAAGTTTGAGCTAAGTAAAATAGTAGATGTACATGTACGTATACAATGTAGTCTTACCTTTACTAAACTGGGGTCTGGTTTTATCTTACTAACAGGTGCTTTCTTCTCATCGCCAGGTCCTGGAGTAGGGATCGGTGAGAAGGTGGTAGGTGTGGCTTGAGGCAAGTACGAACTATCAGTGATACTCTCTCTCCTCGCCTGACGGTTGCTAGCAACTACAAAAAAATAAAATAAAATATATTTAATTTATAAAAAAATAAATGTACATGTACATGCATTTAATTTACATGCATGCTTATTACAATGAGTTGTACATGTATGTACATTGTAGTTGCATGGGTATATACTTGCGGTATGCATTAAAATTTTCTCACTTTTTAAAAGTGTAAAATTCATTACATTTTATTATCAATTACCACCTTTACACAGTAAATATAACAAGAATAAATAATCCATTATCTCATGAAGGGGGAATAATTATACGTTTAAATAAGATACTAACAATAACACCCAATGGTAAAAATTCTACAACTTTACATGTAATATGGTACATAACACTAGTGCTGGGCGATAGTGCTACTATCATATCACGATTGATAGTTCTTAAAATTTTAACGATAGTGATACTATCACGATATTAACAATTAATTTGAATATATTTATTTAGTGTAACAAAATAGGCAAAAGGATTAAAGGTAGATGAATATTTGAGGTTTTCAGCTAGAAAAACCAGCATATTAACAGTTTCTGGCAGTAGACAAGCTCTTTTTTAGTAACTATATTCCCAGCAGTACTATAAATACACATTTAGAGGGAACAGACATTCATGCTGGTATACATAAATATTTCCTAGCTAATTGTGATAATATTGGATAACAAAAGGAATTTGTGATCCACCATGCCATTCAAGCACCCAGAAATTTTACTATCAACTGCAGGAAAACTAAAATACTTCCATACAACACTAGTAGCACCAGGTAAAGGCAATATTTCTGTTTTTTGGAGCAGTACCGCTAGTAATGATAACATCTTCCATTTTCACAGCTGAACTAACTAATTAAAGTAACCACGTGTTTGAAAATGCGCATGCGTACATCTGCCACGTGTCAATCGTGATAGTGTTGATGCAACTATCACGATAGTGATAGTAGATTACTATCGCGACCATCGCATATATCGATACTATCGCCCAGCACTACATAACACATGCACTAAAAATCAATTAATTAATAATAATCAATTAATCAATCACTTAATTAACAGCATTAATACAAACCTGATGTTTCCTGGGGAGTCTGTGGAGTCCTCATATTAGGAAGAGCTGATGGAGGGGCGGAGATGGGAGGCGGGCCTTGAGACTCCGGCTTTGAAATGAGAGTCTCGGTCTTGATCTCAATGCCTTCCATATCGGCCATGGACACAGGAGGAGCGGCCGAGGACGGAGGTAAGTTAGTCCTGGTTGGAGACAAGAGATGAGCTCTTAGTGCAGACTGTGGGGTCTGGTCTTCAAAGTTGTTATTAGAGGACGGGGGAGGTCCGGAGGAGGAGGGAGGGAGGGCAGAGACGGGGGGAGAGAATATTTCGCTCTTGACGGTTGGGACCGAGGGGTCCGATGGTGATGGGGTGTAGAGTCCTCCTGGAGTTCCGGTGCCCCCAGGGATGGAGGAGATGAGCTCTTTAAGGACGTCCTTTTGGGTCGTCTCAGAGTATGGAGTTAGAGGAAATGAGAGAGAAGGGTTTGAGAATTCATTAAAAGGAGAGCCTGGAGCACCTGCAAAGAGAATGAGGAATAGCAAGATAAAAAATAAAGACAATTTTACATACATGTAAATCAATCTACATGTACATGTACATGTATATCATGTACATGTAAAACAGTGTCATAGGTACATGTACATGTATATACATGCAGTATTTACATGTACATGTACATGCAGTATTCATGCATATATTGTACACATGAAAATTGAATTTGTACCTTGTGAATGGCTGTTAGGCTGTCCTTGCATCTGTGGTACAGCAGTGATTGGATGAGGACCATCATCAGGGAAGCCATTAGGAGCACCTGCTAATAGAAAAAAAAGAAAGAAAATAGTACATGTAATTTAAGCATATAATATGCATGTACATGTACATGTAAAATCAGCTCTCTCTCTCTCTCTTACCTTTTCTTCTTTCATTCATTCGTCTCTTCTCGTCCAGTTCTTTTCTAACACGATAAATCTTTTCTGCTAGTTTCTGATAATAATCCTCCTACAAGACAACAAAGAACACTCTCAATTAAAATAGCCACACCCCTCAATTAACATTGACCACACCCATCAATTAAACTCACCCTACTGCTTGCATTCTCAAACATCATATTTTCAACTTTCACAGCATATTGGAATAGACTCTTCACTCTACTATCATGCATACTGTTTGGATTAGGAACTGGATATATTGCTTCAACTCTAAAGAGAGAGAGAGAGAGAGAAAAAATGAAAGGAGACAGAAAGATAAGAGAGGTATTATGTATATCAAGAGTACATGGTGTACTCTTGTGCACATGTATACATGTACAATGTACATGTATATGTACAATACCTACATGAACATATTACATGTACATGTATGTGAATTAACTTACAGTTTTTTAATAAGGTGATTCCTTAGGTCTAAATTAACTTCAGCATGCCATGCTCTAACACTAAAAAAGGCAAAAAATAAATATAAAAATACAATAAAAACAAAAGAGAGAGAAAGAACATGTATACAAGTATTGAGGTACTTACTGGTTAGGAGGCATGGATTGATTAGGGCCCATGGGTCCACTGGTAGAAGAAGGAGGGAGACCAGGAGCTGGTCCCATTGGATTAGGATTAACTCCTCCAACTCCTCCTCCTTGAGGCTGACCAGCTTTTTGAGGTAAAGGTGGATTCTGACCAGGAGCCATAGCACCAGGAGCTACAAAAAATTAATAAAAAATATCATTATTCAATGTACATGTACATGCAAAAGTTTTCATTACATTTATCATAACAAAATCCTACCAAACCCCACCAGACCTCCAACACTTACTGTCCTTCATAATTTGCTGATTTGGAGCCATGCCCCCAGTGGGAGGGGCAGAGTGTGGTACGGTTTGCCCTGGGTAACTATTCGTACCTGTTGGGACCAGGTGTGGTGGGAGACTCACTGGAGGGACGTCACCACCAAACATTGAATTAGGGACTCCGCCTATGGAACCACCCACATTGGGACGAGTGGTGTTCTTAAGAGGAAGGCATACAGGACATTCTTGCTGGTTGCAGTTCTTCCAGTGATAAATGATCTGTCTTGAAGAAGCACAATGAGGAACTAGAGAGAGGAGACAGAGAGACAGAGACAGAGAGAGAGGAGACATAGAGAGAGAAAGACAGAGAGAGAGATAGAGAGAGACAGAGAGAAAGAGGATAAAGGTGAAATCAGAATGACATGTACATGTATACACAACATACCATTTGAATAAAGTCACATATGCAAGAAATTAAATAATGCAACTATACTGTACAATAAGCACATGTACATGTATATGCACATAATACATGTACATGTACATGGATGGTGTTAATTGAAAATGAGGAAATAAAATGTGCAATAAATGGAGATCAAAGGGCAAATACTTTCCCACTTCCTTTCTCTCTCTTTCCCTTCTTACATTGACAGTCTCTCCCTGCTTGACACTCTGTCATGTGATTAAGAACATTCTTCATTGTCCTACAGTGTGGCAGAGCACAGGGTCTGAACCCACCGTGTGCCTGCTGCTCTCTCTCCCTCTGCTGACAGCGATGAGCATGAAGGAGGAGTACTAGCTGCTGTTGGATGAGTTTCCTTTTCTCTGGGTCATTGCTTGCAGAGGAGGGCTGTCCACTACTCATGACAGGTGGAAGTTGAGGCTAAAAAGAGAAAGAGAGGAAAAAGAGTGAACTTTGTTTAAAAGGTTAATCATGAATGATGCAGTGCCTTATTAAACTCTTTATAATTGTTATAATAATAATTATTATTATCATTATTATATCAATAGACACAGGATTACTAAGCATATGCTATAGGCAAATAGCCAATGGGGATAATTCCATTAAGAGAATTTAATTTATTTTGCATGCCAGCTGATTGGAAGAAGCCTAGCTCTCTCATACAGATCACAAACAAAATTACACATGTACATGTACATTCACCTACATGTATATACAGTACATTATAATTATGTAAATAGATGTTCACACATGTATATGCATGTACAATTACATTATAAAAACTTGCATTTATTATTATTATTATTATTATTATTATTATTATTATTATTACTATTTACCATTTGTTGTTGCTGCTGTTGTGGCGATCTCACTTCAATCCTGTGTGTGGGCGGAGGAGGGGGTGGGGCATGATGCTGGTACATCCCTCCAATGGGTTGCTGCATCATCTGAGGATGAGTCGGCTGGCTGGGATACCCGTGATCCATTCCGCCCATACCTCCCATCCCCCCGGACTGTAACATGGGCTGGTGAGGTGACATCATATGAGGATTATTATACCCAGGCATCATACGAGGCATTCCAGCGTGATGGTAGGCTGCTCGCGGCATCCCGTAAGTGTTCCCATGCATAGGTGCACCTCCCATGGGACCTTGGGGGTGCATCCCTGGATGGGGACGCTGCTGGTACATGTTCATCTGATACGGAGAGTTTGTCATGGTGGCGTTGGCCTGGGGTAGAGAGGAGGAGGGAGGGAAGGAGTGAGAAGGAGAAGAGCTAATTGAGGGAAGAGTTGGAGTGGGGTCTCCTGAAGTGCTGACTACAGCGTTAGGAGGAGGAGTAGCAGAGCCGTGGGTAACTAGTTGGGACGGTATCCCTCCCATGTTTGAAGGAGAGGGTGTACCAGTGTTTGAATTGATGTTGTTGATCGGAGGCGTGACCATGTTTGAAGGCGTGGTCATATTATTTGTGGGCGTGCCCATGTTTGGAGGCGTCGCCACGTTCGAGGACTGTGGTACTGGTAAATCCAATTGCTGAGCTGATGGGAAAGGCTGATCCAAAAGGTTATTACTATCAGAACCTGTTAGGAGCTGGATATCAGTTAGCTCTTCGGGAAGCTCAATGAAACCAAATTCTAAAGAGAGAGAGAAAGAGAGAATATTAAAATCTGCACATACATATTATGCATATATGATTTATGTGTACATGTACAGTAGAGGGTCTTCTTTATATGATAATGAATGCTAATGAAATAGAAATGGCTCAGAGAAGGGAACAAAGAGAAAAAGAGAAACAGACAAAGAAAAAGAGAGAGAGAGAAAGAGCAAGAAAAGCAGAAGATACAATATCTTTTACAATTATACATATGATATTAATATGCACATTAGCTAGTAGCTACATATGTATATTCCAGCTACACCCTCTTACAATGCAAGACAAGAGGCATAAAATACACATACATGTACATACAACCAGATAATAATGTAATCCTAATAGACGAGCATGTCTACATGCATACACTATAAAAATGCTTCAAAACATGGAGAGGGTTGGGGGCTGACCTGAATCGCTGTTCATTCTTGGTTTCTTGCTTGCTGGGACAGGATTAGTATCAGTTAATAACTGGTGATCCATCATTTATAGCTTGTAGGTATCTCTCTTCTTCAATTAAACGGGGAAGAGATGAAAAACATGTCAGAGAGAAAGAGCTATCCAACTGATCAAATATGGTGTGTACACTAGAATAGGAGAAAGAGGGAGGCTCAGCCCTCTTTAAGCTTTCCGCCACTACAGTCCCTCTTGCAGACGGATAGCAGACCCGGAGAGAGAGGGAGTGAGTGAGAAAGGCCGTCCTCGGGGAAGAAAGGACAGAAGAGCAATCTATATCCGGAAGGAGACGACAAAGAGACTCGATCGGGAAACTCCACCAGACTACCCTTTAGAGATGAGAGAGGGCCGTAAATATGAACTAAGGTGGACCACAAAGTAAAACTAGCTACAGAAATTGAGGGTGAAGGCTCCTACTGGCTCTGGGAAGGTTAAAGAATTAGGAGGAGGTAGCCATTTTTGTTTGTGGTTTACTCGCTGAGGGACGAAGGACAATTCGGAAGTATGCGGGATTTTAAAGGCGTGAACGGAGGAACACGGATCCATATTCGGATGTCCGCGACTGTGTTTACGCTTTCAGTCTATTAAGATCACGTGATGCTTTTAAAAATGGCGACCATTTAAGTCTAAAATTCAAAACCCTTCTAAAAACACTGATTTGGAGTTATTTATAACATTTTATAGGAAAAACTAGCTTTATGACACTCATATTAGCACAAATATGCCATTATACATTCATTTAAATGCAATTTGACAAAACTTAAGAAATCAATTATTAGTGCTTTCAATACTTAACGTTGCCAGTTGTCAAGGTCAGTTTCTTATGTTTAGCAGTAGAAAAGTCTTAGAACTATAAAATACAACTACTCAATGATGAACGATTGCATGCAATTGCGTTTAAAGCAAAGATACAGTGAAAATGCATCGGACTAGTATAAAATAAGAACCACATTAGTTTTATAGCACTAGAAATTATTTAAACCTTTTAATTTTATTAAAATACTCTCAAAACCCAATCATTCAGTACATTTTACAGAAAACACTGTGTTTCTATGCCTTTAATGCATGTACCAAGCAAGTAGATTTAAACAATAGCTTAATATTGATCTAAAATATAGTATTAGAAGAAAACTATTAGGATTTTAATGCTTTAAATTCAAACAAGCAACAGTAGCTGATTTCCATTATTTTTGATTTGAGCGGGAGGAGTGGCTCATTAAGTAGGCGTGGTCAGTAAGCTTAATTAAGTTATTAATTTAAAATGGCGGAATATTCATCAGTAAAGGGAGGCTCCCTAACATTAAAAGGAGGCAAAAGATCATTATTATTCAAAAAGAAAAAGAAAAGAAAGAAGGACAAAGATGAATTTGAGGAATGGATGAGAGAACCAGGAGCTGTAAGACATGGTAAGTTTAATTAAATGGGTATAATCAATAATGTTAGGTTAATGTACATTACATGGATTGGGAATAAATCTGTATAATTCATTTTAAAGGGAAATGGCGTAAGATTCGATTTGCCGAAGAGCTGAAGGACAGGGTTGCTTTAGAAATGTACAATGGTCGATATCTTTTGGCACTGGTGAGTGAAGATAATGCAAGGTTTCCCACAAAGCATGCTTCATAATGCATGTAATAGCATACAGCTTTTGGAAAATTTTTAAAATTTGTAAAAAAAATCCAAATTTGA